AGTCCTGTTATACCTATAGTTGTTCACTTGGTCAATTTAACATTTGCATATACTGTGCCTAAACCATAAATAGTTGGTTCTTGCACACCATTGATGCGTTTATGATTAGAATCGATTTTTAATGAAATATTGTTGCCATCACCTACAGTTGAGTAAAATCGCCCATTCCCCGATTGCATTAGAAAAGTATTTTTTCAAGTGTACATAAAGACGCATGTCTAACATTTTGTAGCGTGGGTCTGCTCACGCTTGCACTGGATACGTTGCAGTGCTCCAGTGTTTCCAGATGGTGGGGCACTTCATCTATATGTACTTGTAATCTGCTTTAAACAGCCCTGCTGTTATGTTGGAGGGGGTGGAGTGTAGAAAATACACGTCCACAGAAGGCTGCTTCCAATAAAAGTGGGGCTTTTGCATTCTGGTTCGTTCTATTTACGTTTGCTTTTTTGTTCCTGTGTTTCAGGAGCTGTTTACTGGATGTGTATCTCGGGAGGTGGGGGTCCCTGAGATTTTATTTGGGCAGATGTCGCTCTGAACGTTCCCCGGCTTCTGTTAAATGTGGCCTCAATAAACTTTGAAGGGGCATTCCATGCCCTCAGGAACCCCTATAGGCTCGAGTATGTTAATTAATCTCTTTAACAAGTGAAGTCTGCATTTTTTTGGATATTTCCATGTTTTCTTTTGAGTGGCAGTTTTCTGTATCACTTCTGAAGCTGCCAGCTTTTCTGACCTTGTATTCATGTATCCACATTTTGAAAAATTCTGTTTTTCTTCAAAAAGTTGGTATTCACGCAAGATGCCGTCTGCTGTTTGGTATTTAAGTATGGTGAAGCTAAAATAAAATCTGATTCTTTAACTTTGTCTTGGTTACATTTTTCTCCACGTATTACATTTTATAATGCAAATTATCCGGAAAACCACACGTGTGAGATCAAGCCTTTATACGGAGTTCTGTAGTGGGATGTTTTGGTAAAACATTAAGGCATAGCATGTGGGAGGATTCTACACAAACTCCTGGTGACCTCTCTGATAACACATGGAAAAGCCCTGATTTTCACCCCAAGACTTAAAACGGAATGCTTCTGAGACCTGACAAGCTTGGTGCTTTGAATTTAATTTCCAAAAGTAATTTTGGCTTTCAGACCCCTTTTGTTGAGGGCCCTGATAATATATTTTTTGCAAAGGTACCAGAGTACCCAGAGAAAATCCCACGTATGAGTGACACTCATCTACAGATATGAAAAGTGTGCTTGCTGTACTGCATTACAGACAACACAGCGGTGCAGAAGGACACAGCCACCTAACACGAGATGGGCAGTTCAAATTGGTAACCAAAAATGTGGCTTTTTAATGGTTTTCAGAGTTGTCAAGTCAGGCAGGCCTCTAAATCGTGATGTAAAATTACATTTTCTGACTTTCGAGTGGCAAGGTTCATGTCATTACGCTTGATCGGAATTAAGGGTTCAGGCCAGCTCAAGAAGGTAAATTATTCTGAATACAGCCCCATCAGACTCGTATGCCCCGTTCACGCTCGGAACTCCTCTGAGACCCCAGACTGCATCCATGATGCCTAAAACCCACCCACGTAATACATGGATTCATCCATACGGTGTTCAACCGCCACACTAGGTTAAACAACGTCTCTTTTTAAGTGGTTTTCACGAATTTTCAGAGTGGGGGGGGGGAGATACAAGCCATATCAGTGTGAGGGCCGCCACGTTTGAAACCGTTTGGTTTTTTCATATTGAAATTACCTCCCATGGTATCTTCCTGAGTTCGGATAAACCTTGCTCAATTCAGGATACGCATATTAACTCCTACCGAGAGTGCAGTAGCACACCTTCAATAGCGCTACTTGGTGTTATGCCCTCGGCAACTGGTATACAAAGCGGCCCAACCACGAAGCTCGTAACCCCGAAGTGAAGGGGTCGGTGGGGGGGGGGCGAAGTGCCCGTCCATTGGAGTGGAGGCCCCGCTCCTTGAAATGAAGCCCCCTGCCCACTTATATGGAGGCCCCCTCCCATTTAACAGAAACCTCCCCCCCACCGCAACAGAGGCCCCGCCCGTAATGCATACGCTCCTCCCATTTCGCAGAAGCCCCTCCCACGGCAGCAAGCCCCGCCCGTTGATGCAGAGGCCCGTCCACCAGACCAGAAGTCCCTCCCCCACGACGTTGTAAGAGATCGTCCACGCCACGGTTAAAGACCCAGGGGGACATCGATCGCTATACGTCTTATGTGCTCGTTCTCTGCAATAAGGGGGCCGTCCATAAATGACGTCACGCGATTTTGGACGATTTTTGACCCCCCCCCTCATCACACGGCGTCACAAAAAGTCAGCCCCCCTCAAATATGACGTCACAAAGCTCTGCCCCCCCCCCCCCAAAAATATATAGAAAACATGCTTCAAATCGCTGTAAACTATTGTCATTGTAGTGTGTATGTAATGTGACGCTGCACTCTGATGTAGGAGAAACATTTATCAAAAAGTATATTTAATTAAGTAGAACGTGTTGTCTATATTTATTTAAAGTTGCGCACTTTGATGTGACGTCACATTTCTCAAACCCCCCCCCCGCCCGTTGTCACACATCGTCACAAATGTCTGACCCCCCCCCCTAGGTGCGTGATTTATGGACGCCCCCAAACGCATTGACACATTGATGGTTAGCACCTTTTGCTTTTTGTTGCTGCTGTGCTCAACTCGGCACCACGCATCTCCCTTAAAACACATTCCTGCGGAGGGAGCTGGTAGGAACGTTGGGTTGCTCGGTCAATGGCCAGGGTCAACGGCGGCGTCGTGTATTCCGCAAGCCGGCGTGAGTTGGTTAAACATTGAGTTTTATAAGGGCACCACGGGGTGACCAGCCCCTCCCCACCCAGCCCCACCCCTCCCACCCCCCACCCAGCCCCTCCCCACCCTCCCCACCCTCCCCACCCAGCCCCTCCCCACCCTCCCCACCCAGCCCCTCCCCACCCTCCCCTCTCCACCAAGCCCCTCCCCACCCAGCCCCTCCCCACCCTCCCCACCCAGCCCCTCCCCACCCTCCCCTCTCCACCCAGCCCTTCCCCACCCAGCCCCACCCCTCCCACCCAGCCCCTCCCCACCCTCCCCTCTCCACCCAGCCCCTCCCCACCCTCCCCTCTCCACCCAGCCCCTCCCCACCCAGCCCCACCCCTCCCACCCCCCACACAGCCCCACCCTCCCCACCCAGCCCCTCCCCACCCAGCCCCTCCCCACCCCTCTATCCAGCCCCTCCCCTCCCTCCCCACCCAGCCCCTCCCCACCCAGGCCCTCCCTACCCTCCCCACCCAGCCCCTCCCCACCCTCCCCACCCTCCCCTCCCCACCCTCCCCTCTCCCCCAAGCCCCATCCCTCCCGTTTTTGGATGCACGACGGACGGACACAACAATAATCCCCTGTGGGCTGGTGGTTTAGTAACCAGGAGGTTCCTACACAGTATAATACAAACCTGTCAACCCATACGGTTTACTCGTATTCTTGTACGGGGAAATTGAGTTTTCATTTCCGAACGCCATACAACCGTTTTAATACGCGCGAAAAAATGTTTGGTCTTGTTTGTTTGTGTTTCGCTTGCGGTGGGACTTTGTTTCGGATGAACGTTGAGATTTATAAGGGCACGGGTGTGACCAATAAGGTCTGAATTGGACTGTAGTAAGTTAGGGGTTGACAGGTATAACAATATCCGTTGCAACACCACCAACGTTTTGGAACAACGTTGCTTTTCGTGCCTTGACACCGTAAATTGTCTCAAAAAATTCATTTGCATATTTGCAAATGTGATTTGTACCCTTTGATCCTGACCCACGTATCGATAATTTTTTTGAGGGATGTATGTGTGTTGTCTTGGTGTGGTCTGGCGCTGTTTTTATTGTTATTGTCATGCTGCCTTGTCCAAGCTTACATTTCGTTTTGAAAAAAATTCGGCATTTTTATTATTTACTTTTCGTGAATCGCTTCCCTTTTTATAAAATTTGCACTCCTATTATGTTTATTTTTTTATATTGTTTGTTGCTGTACAGTAACATTATTACCCACCCTATTGTACACATCTGTGAAAAAAGAGCTTCATAGCTCATCGGATTCCTCCAGTCTAATTTAGAAAATTCCTTATCCAATCCGTGTAAACACAATCAATTTAACGCGTAGGCTTTGGCGACCAATATCCATAAACTTTTTTGGGTTAGATCGCGTAAATATAAATGCGTCGTTAAACCCGCCACCACCCGACAGAGCCAATTAGTAAGGTTTGTCACGTAAACAACAACATGCCAATTCGGGTAAATCCACACCATTTACAATTCGAGTACAACGTTTCGCCAGTAATTACAACTAGCATCATCAGGAAATATAAATGCGTCGTTAAACCCGCCACAGGCAACTAGTAAGGTTTGTCACGTAAACGAAACATGCCAATTCGTTACTAGTACGGCACACAGGTGTATTGGGAGAGTAAATCCACCACAACATTTTACACAATCAAATCAACGCAAAGGTGAACACGAGGACCCCGCCCCCTAAAAGGCAAACAAGCCACGCCCACAACACCCAAGCTCCGCCTTTCCCACTCGATCGGGAAACCCCGCCTCCTTAGGGGGGCGGTGGTCGTGTGCGGGGGCGTGGCGCGTAGCGCTCTGCTGCGCTGAGAACCTGACCCCCACCCGCCCGGGTTCAATTCCCGCTCACGGCCAACACCTGTGACGGAACATCTGAACCGGTCCCGGGCCTCCCCTAGGTCGACTCGGCCTCAAAATGAGTACCTGGTGCGGTGTGTGAACATCGCCACTAAGGGAGACAAAGGCGGCCGGGCGTGGTGTCCCCGTCGTGCGCCATGTCTGCCCTTCATAGGTGCTCGCTAACAGCTCTTTCCCCGACAGTATGTTGAGGCTACACGGGGGATCTTTGTCTTTTGTGAGGGGGGGGGGGTGGTGGGTGGGAGGAGTTTAGAGGGGTAAAGGGGGAGGGGTTATTTTTTTTCCCGCCATTGGCTCGCGCCACACTCGGGCGGGGCTCGCGGTCTCCGTGGCGACGGGTGACGTCACCGCCCTGCGCCTCCATTTGACGCAGAGCCTCGGCGGGAGACGAGCCGCATTATTTTAGCGCAAGGTATCAATTGTTGGCGCGTTATAATAACAATATATGGTGTTGTCATTTTTGCTATTTCATAAGCAATGCAATGCTTTTTTTGTCGTGGGCATTCGCCGCGTTAGTTTCAGTTAGTGTTTTTGCGAGGAGATTAGAAGAAGGGCGTACTATTACCTCGGGAGAACGAGGTTACTGTACCCCAGCACTCGATTGAAGAGTGCGTGAAATGTCGCTTAAATTTTGTTTTATGTTCGATTCGAACATTAAAATATTACATTGATACGGAGCGTATTCGCGGTCGTCGCAATTGCCATGCATTGTGTGTGTTTTTTAACCTGTACGTATATGTATATTGAATGGGAGGGGGGTTAGGTATGTACGTAAACGTATAGGTGTGTTACCTTAATTATGCATTGACGTGCGGCGTTACAAATACCCTTAAATATCCGCGTATGTATGGCGGTGTTTGTTCATAATATGGTTGCGTTTGTTGCGTGTATATACGATCCCCGTTGGGAGAGACACGGCGGGATGTTGTACCGTGCTAGGGTTTTTATTTTAAGGCGGTGCCTGGATCAAATTATTAAACGTAAGGAGCGGACAAGAACCGTTTACATCCGGTGATTTTGATAAACCTGAATTATTATCTTGTAAAAAAACATACCTCTGTGTGCCTTAAGGAAAAAAAACCGTGCGTACTGCCTCCTACGACATTCGATTCGGAAGCATGGTTATTCATTTTAAAAATTTAAGAAAGGCTGAAAAGCGGAACGCATGGATTCGGTAAAGTACTCGGGTTAATTGCATTATTTTAACTGTTAATAAAAGTTCAGTGGGCTTGGACCAGACATGTCTATGGATGTCATTGTGTCCGAAGATAAGGAGCGATCAAATCTGCACCTTGCAGGATCGCGATAGTTGGCGGCTTGGAGACCTTCATCGAGCAGAGGATTCCCCATAGATGAGGATGAAGTGTTAGGTTTTGCGTATCCTGCGTGTTTAGATGTAACACGTAGACTTTTGCGACCGATATGATTCATTATTGATGTTTGGGTCATGTCTGTCGCATGTATGTGTCAAGTAGTGTATGTCCATGCAGTAACTGTATGTGTATGATATTTACAGTATGTACAACAGTTACAATCGCGGCCGGTATGTCTACGCAATCATATTCTATATGTATGTGGATTGTTTTGTATGTCTTGTATGCGCACATTTGCATGGCATCGTTAGTGGACATCTGTGAACAGAGCTTGATAGCTCATTGTATTTTTCGAGGATAAATAAAGAATCTCATTCTAACTTTACGTATATTCAGTGTTTATGTTCATGATATTTAATAAGTGTTCTGTAGATACTGTATTCCAATGTATATAGGTACTGCACGTTCGGTAAATGTGCACGCCATTGTATAGTATGTATACAATATACTGTACAGTATATGGCATTTTGTTAGACACGAGGTTTTGCATAGTCAAGAGCAGATTCCTGCCCAGACGAGAGCTGGGCCGTTTGTGTTATGGTCACAAAACGCATATGTTCACCCCTCTATGCAACCCTGAACAAGCGTTTGAAATACCACATTCTTTTGACAGAAGCCCCTTACATAGTTCCTTACAACAGCCATTTGACTTTACACAAAGTGATACCTCTTATTTTTTTATAAACCGAATGATGGAACACCCAGTCAAAAGCAAAACCGGCATTTGCAGTTGTATCGTTCCAATGTTTTAAAAAAAAGGTCCCTTGATAATTATTATGACACTTTTTTGTGCGAGCACAGGCTGACAGTGGCGGCGACAAGATGGAGAAAAGCGAACTGGTACAGAAGGCCAAGCTGGCCGAGCAGGCCGAGCGTTACGACGACATGTCAGCCGCCATGAAGGCGGTGACGGAGCAGGGCCACGAGCTCTCCAACGAGGAGCGCAACCTGCTGTCGGTCGCCTACAAGAACGTGGTGGGCGCACGTCGCTCCGCCTGGCGTGTCATCTCTTCCATCGAGCAGAAGAGCGATGCCAGCGACAAGAAGCAGCACATGGCCAAGGAGTACCGGCACAAGGTGGAGAAGGAGTTGTGCGACATCTGCAACGACGTGCTGGTAAACGCTCGCGCCTGCGACGCGCCGCCGGCGTGCTCGCCACTGCCCGTTTAGCCGGAGGGCTTGCCCGCAGATCCGCAGTCTGCTAGCCGCAACACAAGGCGTGTAACAATTCATCGCTTAAAGCTGATCCTTTTTGCTTAAAAGAGAGAAAAACACGTCATTGTTTAAAATGTGTCGTTTTTTACCGTAAGTGCAATGGAGCAAATTAAACGAACAAGACGTAAAACATAACTAGACTGTGAATCAGACTACAGTTTAGGAAAAGGAATGGATTCTTGAATCTGATAATTGGAGGGGAAGGTGAATCCCAAAGTTTCAAGTATAAATATTCATTCAAAATGGTTATTAAGTGTGCTTTTTCAAAGCTAAGCTGCAATCCAAAATTCGCCCCTCTATTTTTGCAGCTTGTGATGCCTCGATTCAGAGTCCCCATGTTGTCACCAGCATACGTGGTTTTCCCTTTAATGTTTTGCACCTGGCCATGCGCCCAACGTTGTGACTGCAGGTCTCTTGCTTATCTCTCACGAGGGCTGAAACTCAAAGGCCATTTGATATTGTTTATTGCATTGACAACCAGAGGGAACAATAGTGTGTTTTGTAGGGCGTTTGAGCGGGGATGTGGTGGGGCAGACCTGTAAACCACCATTTTTAATGTAGTTTGTGAATCAACTACATTTATAACACATCCACAAATGCTGGGCTGTGGAGTTTCCAAGAAATGGCTACACAGCAATTGGGTTTATAAATCTCTCTCTGTTAACAATCTAGTCCTATCCCTCATGCACAGGTTTTCTCCAGTTACTATAGTTTCCTCCAACACACATTACATTATTAATTCAATCGGAATTAGCAATACATCCTCATGCAATGACCCTTCTGAAAAAGCGTTGGGACTCCTATTCTTTGGGTCTTTCGGTAAAGTCACGTAGATATGTTCAAAGAAAATAACAAAAAACTACGACGTTTCGATCGCAACGCAAGCGGTCATCATCCCTATCCTGATGACGACCACTTGTGTTACGATCGAAACGTCGTAGTTTTTTTTTCTTTGAACATATCTACGTGACTTTACCGAAAGACCCACAGAATAGGGATTCCTGCAGTCACGAAAGCTTTAAGTCAAGAGTTGGGACTCGATGAGGCTTTGAATAAATTACGTTTTAAAAATGAAACTCCTCATGGTGATGTGGGGCAGTAGTTGGCAAATAATATTCGTGTTTATTCACATGTCATTTGTGCAGTTTAATGCATGAATAAGGATCAATTTGCCACCACTTCCTCTTCTACAGCTGTGACACATTATTATACACCGATAATAGAATGCATTGCCTGTCTCTTCCAGGTGACTGTTATTATCTGCAAATAATGATACAAGGAAAAATAGTTGCATAGCAATAGGATTTTCTGAAATTCATTTCAGGGTGCAGAGAATAGGAAGACTAGATATTTAGAAGGTTGGTATGAGGAGTTTCACTGCATTAAAATTATGGTGCGAGTCTCATCAAATCACCTGCAATGTGCTGGATCCTGTGAGATTTTTAAAACTAAGCAGGGTTGAGCCAGGATAGCACTTGAATGGGCAAAATAACATACAAAACAGGTGAATTATGCATTGTGAGCATGAGGGGAGTACAGAAAAATCCATTGTTATACTGTACTCCCCGCGCCTTAATTAACTCGTTTGGTGAAGTATGGTGATATTGCCCTAAAGGCCTGTACAGCATTGGATTGACGAATCCACATTACATTATAGCTAGTTGTGCCTCAGGCTTGTTTCATCTGGGCCGGCCCTCTTGCTGCTACCGTAGGCGCACACCATGCTCAACATCCCTGGTGAGTCGGTACAGTCAGCAGCTGCCAACGCCGAACCCCGGGCGGCGGTTAACTAACCCGGAACACTCAGCTTTGTCTGAGCCTGGGCATGTGGAACCCCTGGTGGAGGAAATTCCACCAAAAGGGTCTTTGGACCTTCCACTGCAACGAGGACCATCTCGAGTCGTCTTGACTACGTCTTCCCACTGGGTACAGATGGGGCTGGTCGCGAGATTGAGGTTAACGCTGCGCAAATCACTCTCACTTAAATCCAAGTTCTCTGTGCAAGTCATGGCACCTTTTTTTACCATCGTCAAGCATGAACCTGTCGTCGTCTGGTTTTGTGACCTTTTGCCTGATTCCGGGCGTCTGAGTGCATAGCATTGCTGCCTCGGTAATTTTAGAAGCTGAGCACAAGCGCCCTCACTCTCCAAATTAGCCATACCACCCACGGGCAATAACTATTTGTATGACTTGTGCTAATCTCACCCGTGCTCACTTTACTGCTGCTATAAAGTTGCTGTTGCTCGCTGAGTCATCACAGTTGGGGCGATGAGTGCACTGCTCAATGTGCAGCAGCTACACACTGTACGTGCTCATTTCTAATGGGTTAAAAAAGAGAAACCAAAGTTAGAGAAGGAAGCCTAGCTCCAGTTTTCATGTCCTCTCAGAGCGATGCATTCCTTCTTCACAGATGAACGGTGTGTAGTCTGGAGATTGTATATGGTAGACCCTTGGAGGGTGTCGGACAAACAGAGGTGTGTGATGTCACCCCTTGATATGAGAATTGTCCTTACGGGGAGGTGTAAGAATCTTAAATCTGCAATTTGAATGCTTAAATGTAGGCACGCATTTTTTTATTTTAGCACAAGGAATACCACTTGTCAAGTGGATGCCAATTTACTGACATACCACAGCGTATCTTGTCTATAAAATATCAACCGTGGCAAAAATGTCTGTCACGTCAGTATAAAACTGATGCGATCTGCCAGGACATGTCATCCATTTCCTTCTCCCATGCGTGACGTGCGAATAATCGTGTTTGATGAGGCAGAGCTCCACCCTCTGCCTGCATTGGACATAATGCGTAAAAGCCAGACTTGAGTCAGCCAGAATTTGGAGTAAGCCTGAAGGCTATTGGACATAGATGAACTACAAAACGGTGGGAATTAAACCCAAAAAATGTCGACAGAAAACACTTAATTGGCACACAATACTTGATGCTATGTGCATAAGCAATTATACAGTTATTTACACATGCCGTACTTGTCTAAGGATATTTGGAATTTGTATCATTTGACAGTACATGGGACTTGAGGGCTGTCGTTTTTTACATTTTCTTTAAATAGATTTTTCAAATTAAGGAAATTCATAGTTCATAGCAAACCATGTTAACCGCTGTGACACTGCTCCATCCCTTATAGATGTAATTGAAAATGTGTGTTTCTTGAAAAATATTTAATTAATTGCAGTAGTTTGGACAACCCCCAATTGCTATGCCTCGAGAGGTTTTACTGTGCTTTGCATTCATTTAGAAGTGGAATGTCAAGCCCGCAATGAAAAAGTGGTGTCAGCAAAATCTCAGACAATTTATGTCCTCTTTTGATGCCAGCGGTAGATATTGACCAGAGACTGTTTCATCTATGGGCTGTTGGCCAATTGGATGTAAGCATAAATGGGAGGTTATTAAAGCAGAAAAATATCACAAACTGTGTAATAAACTTTTGAATTAAGTTCTAGACGGTTGATGTCGTAGCTCACCAGTTCTGTTCATCCTTTTGTTATCACACATCATTTGAAACCTCTTAACAGTTTTATCAAATAACCCAGGGAAATTAATATCTGCATGTAGACCACTGAATGAGCATTTATAAGCTCTCACTGGGTTTCAGTTCCATTAAACTGGGTTTGTGAAGGTAGTTTGGTATTAAGTCATGTGGATTGTGCAAGAAGCATATTTTTTAACTATAGCAGCCTGCACGTACTCGGGATCTGACCGTCCCTCCAAATATAGTATGGTTTTGTTTGTTCTAAGGGATCATAAATATACAAGTCAGAATACCAACAAATATGCATGAATGAAAAGTGCACACTTTTGTGGTTATGTAAATGAGGCAGTCGTAGATTATCAGTACACACCGGGCATGCTATTTCATGGCATACGTGGTGCTCAGCTGTTTGAAGCAAACCAACGTGGGAAAAAAAATTGCACGACTGCTGGAAAGTGTAATTTTATCAGATAAAAAAAACACTGCAGTAAATTAGCAATGCATTGTGGAGTTGGTAAACTGGTATTGAGGTTTTGTGCTCAAGGTTCCTTTTGCATCTAGCCAGGATAAATACAAGCCTTCATTTGGTCATTTGTGCTGCAGGCTCTCCTGGACAAGCACCTGATCGTCAGTGCGACCAGTGCAGAGAGCAAGGTGTTCTACCAGAAGATGAAGGGCGACTATTACAGATACCTGGCTGAGGTTGCAGTCGGAATAGACAAAGCCAGTGAGTATACATGATCACTCCGTATCTCTGGTTGTGTGCACATTTATACAATAATGTTTGTCTTCGTGTGTTAACATGTCTGTTTTTGTTGTATCTGTAATTGTGTGTACATATCTGGTATTGTTATATATGTGTGTACATGTTTGTTTCTGTGTGTATACTGTATGGGTATGTACAGGTATCCCTTGATTTGCAAACGTTCGGTTTACGAAATACGAAATTCGCGTTAACGCAAATGACAAATTATGGACACTGTTTGATATACGAAATCAAATTTCCGCGTGAGCAAAATTTAAAATGGTATGCGCCACGAGATCAAACAAGAAGCACCCGAAAGTCTGCATCATCCATATGTGACACTGTCACATAACCTTTCCATTCATTCCAACTTGCAGATTTTTTGGCGAGTTCCTTGAAAAGGTGAATTATTTTAGTTTTTAAATAGATTTTTTCATAGTTTTAATATTTGTTGTTTATTATTTTTGTATTGTGAAGTGATGTTTATTTTTAGGTTAGGAGTAGAGTTGGGATGACTGTCCGAAACAAAACACAAATTTTTAAGGATACATTTAACGGAAAACTCCATTCCGATTTACTAAATTTCACTTTCCATGTGTTTTTCGAAGAACGCATCCCTTTAGTAAATGTAGGGATGCCTGTATCTGTACATACGTATTTGTTCATGTTTGTGTGCGTGTGTCCGTGAAGAGCAGTACCACAGTGGCAAGTTGTATATGAACCTTTCTTGGGCCTCCCCGAAATCAACACAGCCTTAAATGAGTGCCAGGTGTGGTGTATAGACGTTTGCACTGAGAATATAAATACAGCCGGGCATAGTGAAGGGCACAATAGGTACTTCCTAATTGCACTTCCTCAACAGTCCTTCAGACTCAACAGGGGAAACTTTAACACTAGGCTTTCGCGACCAATATCCACAATGCAGGTTTTTTGGGTTAGATCGCATAAATATATACGTGTCATTAAGCCTGCCACCACCCGACACAGCCAATTTGTAAGGGTTGTCACGTAAACAAAATATGACACTTCGTCACTAGTTGCAGCACACCGGTGTGTTGGAGAGCCAAGCCACAACATTTACAATCTGAGTACGATGTTTCGCCAGAGAATCATCAAATAATACATTGTTTAAATGCATGCCTATACAGGCCACCATACTTCAATAGGGATTACGGTTGTTATGGCTATTTTAGTACACACAATGGACAGGAAGTACGAGATCAATGGGCTCACATAATGCACATGCATAATGTACGTTGATTCATTAACCCCCCCCCCCACACTTTGTGCAATACGAGCGCACAAGTGTTGTCATCACATCTACGCCTTTATAAGGAACGAAACAGGTGGACTTGACAAATCTGGCTGTCGCCTGATGAAGCTACTTGTAATTTCAGGCAAACGTCGTACTCAGATTATAAATGTTGTGGCTTGGCTCTCCAACACACCGGTGTGCTGTACTAGTGATGAATTGTCATGTTCTGTTTACGTGACAACCATTACGAATTGGCTGTGTCGGGTGGTGGCGGGTTTAACGACACATTTAGGCAATCTAACCCAAAACCTGTATTATGGAGGGGGAACTTTGTTCTCACACACATACTGCAATTATAAATGTAGGACTTCCAATTGTGGTCGAACGATGCATCAATTTTTCAATTCATATCAATCCCAAAGCACACGAGATGATATGTACATATGTCATGTGTGAATGAATACATTTTTTTTTACTTTGGTAAATCTAGTACGTAATGAATTTACATCACCCCAGCAACCACGAGAGGCACAACCATTTACGCTGTATATTCTTGGTTCTTTCGGTAAAGTCACGTAGAAAGAACCAAGAATATGAATCCCTGCAGTCACGAAAGCTTTAAATCAACATTTACGCTGTGTTAAAAAATAAAGCCATTCTTAAATTGTGCACCGTAATATCGACATGTAATTGAAGCAATGGCAACGTCAATTGTTCTACTCACAATGTAAATCTTATGCATACATTTATTCCACGTATGCATACATTTCCACAGCACGAATACATGCTTGCCTGCATGTAATTAGTGTTGCAGTTGTTGCGAGGTCTCAGGACACAACACCAGCACGCGTCTGTTTCGTGTCAAGTGCGGCTACGTGTCATTTTTGCCATTTCACTCGTGACACATCTAAGGCATGTTTGTGATGTGCGTCCTGACCATAACCAGCTGGGGTGGGATGCCACCTGTCCATTTTAAAAGTGGGGATGTCTGCTAAATCGGCTTGTTAGTGTGTATATCTGTATGCGCTGGTACTCGCACATCAGCTCAAGGTAGCACAAATGTAAAATATGTGTGCAGAGAATGCATGTATGTACTAGACATGTAGCAATGAATTGCATTTTAGCATTTATCAAGCAGTACTAGCACTCAATTGGCTTTTTGGTGTGATGATCGTGCTGATATGCGAATATTGAACAACCTGTCCCAAGTTATTGATGTAACCAATGAACCAGCTCACTTCAATTAAGCACAGATAATGGAATCGTGATTAATTTTGAATAACATGCAACACAATTCTAAATAACATAATTTTTATTATATGCCAGATTTAAGACTTCCCAATTATACAAATTTAATTTTAAAGACATAGATTGGCAAAATCTCTCTGCTCTTAAAATGCTTGATTACTTGCCTTTATTTAACCAGTTCAGATCCAATTCATATATATAATACCATTTTAAAAATGGAAAACTTGGAAAAAATGTAAAGGTAGTTTCAGTAATGTGGCATTTAGGATATGAAATGGACACAGTGGCCTATTCTTGCAAATAATAATGATTTACATGGTGCATTTAATCTGTAGATCCCAATGTGTCATGTTTGGAAAACCGGAAATATACAGAAGGGTAAATGGCCAGAACTAGAGAATGAAGGCCAATTTAAAGAGATGAGTTTTCAAGACAGACTTAAATATCTCTAACGACTGATTATCTTATGACCAAAGGCAAAGCGTTCCATAGTCTAGGAGCTGCACTAGCAAAAGCCTAATCACCCGAGGAACAGAGCCTTGACCTTGGAGTAGTTAGAAGGCGATCCAAAGATCTCAGGGACGTTGTTGGAGTATAAAAATTTATCACTTCCTGCAATTATTGTGGGGCTATCCTATATTGAGAGCCTTGTAGGTCAGCAGCAATATCGTATTAAATACACTGATACTTTACTGGTAGCCATTACAGAGACGAGCTCAGGTGTGATGTGCTCGTTAAACGGTGTGTGCGTAGGGACTCTAGCAGATGTGTTCTCAACAAGTTCAAGTCTCCCCAGAAACTTAATGTGCTGCAGTAAACAGTCTCAACATATTCTTATCTCTTTCGGTAAAGTCACGTTGAAGGGAAACAATAAAATAATAAAATATATATAAAACAATAAAAAAATTCTCACGACGTTTCGACCATAACACAAACGGTCATCATCAGGTGTGAAAGCCAACGGCTTTAGAATCATCAGCTTTGTGAAAATTAACCTAGAGGTTACACATCCTAAGCTTGTGGTCCCTGAATAACAGGGTCTTTGTTCATAAAAATAAAACATGAATTCTTAAATGAATAACAAGTTCAAGTTGATAAGACAACAAAAATAATGAGTAAGATGAGTCAGTTTGTACAGCTTTGAGAATTACACATGGGGAGTGACTTCTCTGACAAAGTAGTGTGTGGGCGTTAGTGTGCACTCTTCGTCCAGCATGATGTCACCCATCATATGACAGCATTGCTCGTGCTAAAGAAATAAGTTGAGCGCATGGATTGAGGAACCAATTCGGTCCGCTTTGTGACTCATAGGCGCCAGTTATTTTAACCTTCCTGTTTTGCTACATTGATTCTACAATTTTTTTCACTGTCTGGTTGGTGGTTTTTCTTGTCTCATGTTCAATGCTCTGCCCATGGCCTTGTTTTATATGAACAGGAGGCATCCTGATCACATTGAACCTGAGTGAATCTCGCAATTTTAGACACCCTTGTTGCTGCTTGGGCATGAGGACTCCAGAAGTAAATTTTCAACGGTTAGGGTAAATTGTCAGCTTAGAATTCACGGGTGCATGAATCCTATGCTATAAACATGGGTTTCTCCGTAAACATGTAGAGCAACAGATGCCTCTGGCTTGAATGTGTTTGTGGGTTGAATTTGTTTAGTGCGATTATGTCATGAAGTCTTAAAGTCGGAGCCCAAAACTTATGATATGCCTAGGCTGTGTCCTGAGCGGTCCAACAAGAGTTTTAAGCTTTGATATTGAGATAAAAGGATATGGTTGTGGTTGAACGTTATTTTAATGGTATGCTACTGTAATTTTAAATGTTTAATCAAATAATCTTCAAACTAATGTTATACAACCATAAACACAGCCTACGTACAAATCTACAAGAAACAAATTCATTTGTTGCGTTACTAAAATTTGAACTTATATATAATTTTTGGCTCATTCTTGCAAAAGGTTGTTGTTGCTCTAACGATGTTCATTATATCCCTCCCTTTGGACTCCTAAATTAACCCAGTTGCTTTAAGACTGTATAAAAAGTAAGACCTCTATTGTTTTCATGTATTAGATGAGCGTATACACCAGTTCACACCAGGGATAATGTTTTAGTTTAAATAAAAAGGTGATCTGAAGCAAATAACAAACACAAGGGGAGAGAATGTTGTGCATTGTGCAGAATTGCACTGTACATGACCCCGCAGTGTACATGATAGGCTTTTGCCTATAATACCAGGCAACTAGTGGCATTTCTTTAACAGACCATAGACTGCCGATGAGACCTAATCAAAACTGATCCATAAGGCACATAGGTTGATGGACTGGATAAACAAAAAAAACCTTGCCTTTTTATTTGCTGTCACTTTATTCTGATGACACAAATGCTTTTTGCGTCTATTCCATTGTCCAGAAAGTCCATGTGCTAGTGGACTTAAATTTAAAAAAAAAATATTTACTCGGTGACACAAACCCATGTCTGTTTTATATATTTGTTATATGCGTGACCACCCCTTGCTCCCCACAGGTGCCATGGAGCGGTCACAGGCCGCCTACCTGAGCGCGTTTGATGTCAGCAAGGCAGAGATGTCACCCACTCACCCAATCCGCCTGGGCCTGGCACTCAACTTCTCCGTCTTCTACTACGAAATCCTGAACTCGCCCGAAAAGGCCTGCAACCTCGCCAAGACTGTGAGTTTTCCGAGTGCTCAGCCCTGACCCCGTGGCTTTGGTTATCCATGTGGTGTGGTCCCATAGTTGTCCTGGAGCCCTGATTAAGAACCCTTGGTTCGGAAAATGTATCTGGCGAGAATCATGGTGAGCAGTAGGCATGTAATGAATTGCCTAATTTCAATATAGGAATTAAAGGCTCTTAGGATCATGGGTTCCCAACCAGGGGTACAGAGATCTGGTTTTGGCTACAGGCATAATTAGGGGATCTACAAAAGCCCAAGGGGTCCACAGAGTGCAGAGGAGTGTGTGCTGGCTCCATATAGGAGTACCCTTCACTTCATATTCAAACCATTCAGTGTGACAGACCACTTAACTTGCATTTGTAATGGCATAAGTTCAAATTCTGTTGTCCTATGCAGATATTATTCCCCTCCATGAGAATATGGAATTTACACTATGTATCGCTACTAACAGTGATGAGTACTTCCCCATGCTTTGATTTGCATATAGCTGTACAATATTGCTCACTACAATATGGTGTTGATATTTGACATGGGCTGTAATTGGTGTAGATTAAACATTAACGATTTACTTGCCTGCATTTCAATATTTGTTTTACATTTGAAGTCATTCGACTGAATAATATTTTTGATATATATTTTTCACCTTTAGTCTCCTTTTTTCTACAGTCTCATTCTCACTGCGACCATACGCCTAAAGGATAATATTGCATTAAACAATAATATATTTAATTGTGCAATTGTATGTACATAAAATGTGCACAATAAACAGATTTCTTTCAAAATCTGTATTATGTCTAGTCCTAAGTCTAAAGTGGTTTAGAGCTACAGTATGGATCATTAACTTGGACCATAAAAACATTAAGAGTGATGGAAAACAATATGACCATTTGATGTTGAGGGGAAAAAAACATTAGAGCATTTAACAGACCACAATGTGAAATTTCCATACTTGAGCCCAACCGTGAGTGTTGCATTAAAATTGAGTCACGATGCCCTGTCCATTTGCATGCACAGCAGCAGCTTAATGCCCAAGCCTTGGTTTATTTATGGAAATGAGTCACTGGTTGTTTCACCAAGCACATTATGGCATTCAAAATAAACTGGTGGAAAAACTGATGGCCTGTCTGCTCCAAAGACTTGGTAGGGGCCAGTGGTCAGCACAAGGAAACTTGAAACGACCATGGGATTTGTGCCAGTTAAGGTGCAAGTGTGTACGCTTCTTTAGTGGTTTGCTCATAAGAAATGGGTGCAATGAAGACCCATATGGGTCTTCAAGAACTTGTGCTTGCATTACACGCTTGATGGCATTTTGGGATATTAGCATTTGCGTTTTTAGTGTGCAGGCATTTCCTCCTTGTGATGAGTGGAGCTGGCATGAATTAGATGTTAATGTAACACTTTTGGCAGCATGGTTACCAACATAAAGAATTGAATTTTCCTCATACGCAATCCCCTTTTCATTTGTATCTGCCCAGCACAAGTTGTGGTGCATTGTAGTTGATGGACTTACAAAGAACTGTTATTTGGGTAATATAATTAGTGATAATCTAAAAGTGGGTATTGTAGTGAAATCTGCTGCATTCTGAAATATAGTACATGCTTTGTATGGTCTTCCTTTAGTAGCCTCAGCTATATGTTTTAAATGAGTCGGTAGAGTAGATCACTAAGAATAGGCTTTACCCTTTCTGTTATTTATGACACTAAAACCTGTTTTATTGCTAGAAAGAGAGGGTAAAACCTATTATATTTTGATGCTGGCAAGGGAGGTCCCATGATGTAGCTGCTCACCCCAAGCTCTCAGTGCCCTGAGTGCATTGTCTTTGTGCTGTTTGTCTTTTTGCGTCCTCTGGTCTAACACTGAGACTAGGCTCTAAAGAAAGCCATCTCTGGTGTGGACCAATCAGTTTAAAAGATAATGCATATACTACCAGAGCATGTTTTTGTTTCCATGTTCACCACAATCATATGCGGTTAATGTAGACACAATTCCTTGCAAAAGTTTCTTTTTGGTGTTTTAACATCTTAACACAAACTGTTTTATTGCCAGCAAGGGTAAAACCTCTTATATTTTTATAGTGACAAGGGAGGTCCCATGATAAGGTAGATCAGTATTTATATAGCTTCTAAATAGGACCACATCTCAAATGCTGCCCAGAACTAGTATACATGTTTTCCAAAACAGGAGCACTGTAGACATGATTTTCACAGCACGACAGCTCAAGGAGAAGTGTCAGGAGCAGCATCAGGACCTCTTCATGGCTTTTGTCAATCTGTCGAAGGCCTTCGACACAGTTAATATGGAGTTTATGTGGGACGTTTTCCTGAAGTTTGGCTGCCAAAGAAAATTTGTCAATATCCTGCGTCAATTTCATGAGAGGATGATGGCATGGGTGACCATCGGAGGCCAGGAGGCCGAGCCCTTCAGGGTGCGCACCGGCATACGCCAGGGGGATGCCGTCCTTGCTCCGGTACTCTTCAACATCTTCCTCCTATGTGTCGCCACGCTACTGCACAAGGAGATTGAGAAGGATAGTGGTGTTACAGTGGACTTCAGGCTGAATGGAAACCTTGTTAACATCAGCCTAGTGATAAAAACCAACAAGATCATCACAAGTTCGACCTCCACAATCGACCCAACTAAACGTCCCTCCCTAAAACCTTCTGCTGCAAGACCCCCTAGATTCTATGGTCTTCCCAAGATTCATAAAGAAGGCACCCCACTACGACCCATCGTATCCACGATCAACTCCCCTACCTATAGACTAGCCCGTTTTCTGTCAGATACCTTGCTGCCTTTCACTGGCAAGACCGCCTCAGCAGTACTTAACTCAGCCCAATTGGTCTCTATGGTCAAAGACGTTGTACTGTCCCCTGACGATATCCTTGTCAGCTTCGATGTGGTCTCTTTGTTCACCAAGGTCCCAGTACCTGATACCATTGAAATAATAAAAAATTTGGTCCAACATGGACTAGACCCCGATACACCTGCAATGGTTAGGCACTGCCTCAACAATACCTACTTTACTTGGACTGGCTCCTACAAACAAAATGAGGGTACCCCCATGGGATCCCCCTTGTCACCAGTGATAGCCAATATTTTCATGGAGAAATTTGAATCGGACGCCATCCAGACTTCCACCCTCAGACCTTCCCTGTGGAAGAGATATGTAGACGACACTTTCGTCATTTGGCCACATGGCCTCCCGGCTTTGAACCTTTTCCTAGACCACATTAATTCCAGACACCCCGCCATCAAATTCACCATGGAAGTGGAGAAAGATGGCAAGCTGCCATTCTTGGATGTTCTGTTTGAGAGGAGACCTGATGGCTCATTGGGACATTCTGTCTACAGGAAACCCACCCACACAGATTCCTACTTGAAACCTGATTCCCACCACCACCCGACACAAAATAATTCTCTCATCAAAACGTTATACCACAGGGCTCATTGCATTTCGGACCAACACCACCTGACCAGTGAATTAAAACATGTACATCTGGTCCTAAAAAGGAATGGATACTCTGACCGTACCATCCGCCAAGCTGTTTCTCCCTCCATACAGAAACAACCACTTGATACTCCGATCAAAACCATCACACTACCATATATAGCAGGCGTTACTAAAAATATCTCCAAAATTCTAAACAAACACAAGATCCTGGTCCGGTTCAAAACAGTACACAAAATCCGTGACCTGATCCCTTCCGTGAAGGATGTCATTCCTGACTTACAGTACCCCGGAGTTTACAAATTGATCTGCACCTGTGGTGACTGCTATATCGGGGAGACGAAACGACATGTCTCTGACCGAATTCGCGAGCACAAATCAGATTTGAAACGCGGCAGAACGAATTCTTCTGCCGTAGCTGATTACTGTTACAACGCTGTGGGTGATCACGATATAATTTTCTCCGATACCAAGGTTCTTTGCAAACCCACGGGTTTTTATCAGAGATTTGTTCACGAGGCAGTTCAGATTTACAAACACAGACACAATTGCAACCGAGAGGATGGTTTCAAATTAAGCAACCATTGGAAAGATGTTCTGAATCAAACCAAACATTAAACTAATTTTCAATGGTACAGTATATTTTTTCAAGTAGTGGTATCCCAAACTTAGGCAGCTGCTTAAATTCCCTTTTCACACCATCAATATGTAAACTCCCCCCTTCCCCCCTCGCCGACCTGCACATGTTCACCCCCTCTACACCGTTCATCATGCCAAGTCCGCAAATTAAATGCTATTTTTTATGCTAATTCCTTTGTCAAGGCGCTCTGTTTCCTCTCACACAGCTTAAAGGTCGCAGTCTGAGCTTGGCTGTGTTCACTCCAGCACTGTCCTCTAGACAGTCTGGTCCCTTCACCTGATGAAGGCCACTTGTGTTGTGGCCGAAACGTCGTGATTTTTTTTTATTTTTTACCTACGTGACTTTACCGAATAGAACCAAAGAGTATAAACATCAGGAGGCTCCGAGCAGTCCCAAAAATAACATCCAAGGCTGTTATCCAGCTGCAGTATACTGATGACTGCACGCTCGTGGCCCACACACCAGAGGCCCTGCAAGCTACCCTTGCAGCTGCTGCAAGTGCGTATGACAGATTGGGTCTCGGTGAACATCATGAAGACTGAATAGTATGCCAGTGGGCATCTACTTATCCACCGTATCCGCCCACCTTCAACGTCTTTCAGAAACCTCTCACAGGTACCTGGGCAGCTTTCTGTCTGGCGACTGCAGCATTGAAAGGGAAGTATAAAACTGAGTAAAGCAGGCGTCATCCTCTTTTGGAAGGATCAGAAAAAGGGTATTCCAGAACAAGGACCTCGGCCTACGTAACCATCTGCTTACCTGGCAGTGGTCATCACAACACTCCTTTACAGCTGCGAGACGTGGACCTTGTACATTTGCCACAGCAGAATGCTTGAGGAATTCCATATTAGGTGTCTTCAATGCATCCTGGGGATAACCTGGCGTGACCGGGTGCCCCCCATACTGAGATACTCTGCAAAACCAACTGCATCAATATGGAGGCTACCATTATCCAGCACCAACTTTGCTGGCTCAGTCACATCATCAGGATGCCAAAGGAGCATTATCCATGTAAGGTCCTGTATGGCAGCTGCACCTAGACCACTGCTCTTAAGGGGGCCAGAAAAGGCGCTACAAGGACCAGGACCAACTGAAGATGGCCATGAAAAAGTGCAACCTGAACCCTACCCAGCTGAAGGACACTGCCACAAACGCTCGATCTGGCGCCATTGCCATTTCTGCCAGCATGGAGTGTCAAAGCTCGAAGAAGACCGAAGTGAGCTACGGAAAAGGAAGCTTCTGAAGAGACATGAAACCAGAACAATACCCTACACCTCCAATCAGCGACTTCACCTGCTTTTGTCTGTAGCAGATGCTGTGGGTCGAGGATTGGAATTTACAGTCACACCATCCCACAAATAGAGGCAGAGGAGGAAGGTCATCATTGGATACGATGGACAACCCCGAAGAGAAAAAAATAAATGTTTTCCTACATAGAGGCAGTCAGTCATAGGCAGAGGAGGAAGTTCTTGAGCATGGACTTGGGTAGGGATTAAACTGTTGGTTAGGAGAAGGGCGTTCCACATGATTAGGGTATGAGAGTTAAACAAATGTCCTTCCACTAAGTGACTAGGGGCTTCGATGGAAAGCTTTGCTTGCTGGAGTGAATCGCGCACGGAGAGGTAGTGTGATGACAGGGGAGAGGTAGGGAGAAATCAGCAGATAATCTTTCAAGTCAGTGAGTATAAGCTTGAAATTGATCCATGACTGGATTGGTATCCAGTGAAGGGCTCAAAGTATTGGTGTGATGTGGGCTCATGTATAGGTGCTGGTGAGAAGTCTTGAAATTGCATTTTTGATCATCTAGAGCAGGGGTCGGCAACCTATGGCTCGCGAGCCAGATGTGGCTCTTTTGATGACTGCATCTGGCTCGCAAATAAATATTAGCTGACATTTCTTAACATGATAAGTCTTAACATAAGTCTTAGTATGTTAAGAAATGTCAGCTAAGATTTATTTGCGAGCCAGATGCAGTCATCAAAAGAGCCACATCTGGCTCGCGAGCCATAGGTTGCCGACCCCTGATCTAGAGTGTGAACATTTGAGACTTTTGGAGGCCATAGAGGAAGAAGTTGCAATAGTTGAGTTGGTATGTGATGATGGCATGGATGTGTCTCAGCAGCACCTGGAGCAAGGGCACAGTGGATGCAATAAATGCTGTGCAGATTTGAGTTATGACGTCTTGCGGAGTTCAGATGTGGGAATAGAATGAGAACCAGTCATCAATGACAACTCCAAGATTTCACACACTCTTAGCCAGTTTAATGTTAAGAGTTTAAGAAGTGCACACTTAAACTGGAGTCTTCTGAGTGAACTTTCTGCTAATGAGAGAGTACTTTTTTGGAAACAAATATCTGATTACACTATGGACAAAGTGTGACAAGTGGCAGCACATGGTTGTTACCGGAAAGAGCCAAAACAGGAATTGTGGAATCTACAGAGACATGCTTTGTTTAATGTTCACTACCGTTGTGTGCACAGGCATTTGACGAAGCCATCGCTGAACTGGATACTTTGAATGAAGACTCGTACAAGGACAGCACGTTAATCATGCAGCTGCTGAGGGATAACTTGACGGTAAGAGCCAATTGTGGCTTTTTTATTTTCTTAATGAACTCCCTTTCATTACCTGTACTTTCATGTGAAATACTGCTATACCAGAGACTTTGATAACAATACAAATGGTATGAGCTTCCGTTTTAATTGGAGTTGAACAAACCTATAATTTACAGAAGATTCCATATGCAACTACATTTTGCAGGATTGTAAAGCCTGAATTTTAATAGTAGACTCAAACTACTTGAGCAACATCTATTTAATTAAAAAGATGAAGATTCGAGTCTAATATAGCAATGCTTTTGTAAAGATTAGGTAATTTTTGTTCCTCTTTCCAGTGAGTTTCACTGGTGTGTGTGAACCCTTTGTTACTTCATAATTCCCACTTGGTGTTTTTTCCTCAGCAACTTGGCAAACGCATTGCTCCACTGCAGAATAATTTTTTCAATTCACCAAGACGTCCTTCGCATATTAGAAACCCATTGGAGCTATGCACTCTTAAATGTAGATTAAAAACGATTTTTTTAAACTGCTTTTTGTGTTTAGTTTTTTGTCATACCTTCGCCGATTAGCACGGTTGGCTACGTCCAGTGCAAAAGAAGTTCATCATACATACAAGACTGCAGCATTATTGTTAACCTCTTTAACGTAATACGCTATTCACTGACAACAGCGAGTTAAAGGCATGCCATTATTGACGGGCTATTAATTTTCAACTGTTACATCATACCGGGCTTGATGCACACTGCAAAGTGGCTAGTTTGCTAAAGGGCCTTGGACCATAGAACACCAAGCTGGCACTTCTAAGATCCTGGGTTTGAGTTTTGGCACCTACCCATTATTAAATGAGGTTCTCAAATGTGGTGAATTTATGGTCACTTCACTAGTGGCCAGGTGCACAAAAACACATCGTACTGCATTTTATTTTTCACTTAAATTGGCACAATCTGACTCCAAGGACAAACACATTATTGGTTTACCATGCAACACACACCTCAATGGCAGAGCATTGACTAGGTGCATTACCACTTGGTGTGGATAAAAGGTAATTTAATTACCTCGGAAATGGCAGTGTGATGTCGTATTCCAGAGGCAGTTCTATAACATAAGCTGATGTTCTCCTTTCAGCAACAGTTTAAATTGGAAAATGTTTTTTTTCATTACATAATGCCTCTCCAGCATGCTTTTTTACTTCTCGGGGAAGCGACTTGACAGGAAGTACATGACCTTGTTACTTGCCTGAGATAGTAATATCCTATTTTTTTAAATGTGTTTGTTTTTGCAGCTCTGGGCCTCAGACGCGCAGGGTGAAGATGCAGACGTGGATGGAGCCGAGAACTGAAGCGGGGCACGAAGAGGGGTACGCGAGCGAGCGACAAAATCGTAACACCAACAAAACCTTTCTCCCCGGCTTGACAGAATCAAATACATCGCAGAGCTGTCATGTGCGATTGGCTCATTGTACCATCATCATCACCACTACCACCACCACCCATCGCGGCTACAACACGATTACAATTCTTAAACACGAGCACCAGCCACAATTGGGTGACCTGAGCACCAATCTGGTTTGCTTCACAAAAGCATCTTCTCAGCCTCTCCTCATTGCCTCTCCAAATTATCTGTGCTCGGCAGCTTCAGTTTTTTTATTTGCAAGTGTCTGTGTTGAGAGGGAGCACGTGTGCAAGGCACACACATGAACACTCCAGTCTACATAGCGCCCACCAACATATCTCAAACAAATTCTGGTTTGTACTGCTCCTGTATGCTCATTGGTGGTCTTACCATAGTTTATTCGTAATTGGTAAGAAGGTTAAATATGCGTCAAGTGTATATTTATCAACTCCTTGCATTGACAGGTGTTTCTGCATCCGTTCCTCTGCCGCAGGGACAATTTGAATGGCAAAAATCTTGACGTCTACCGTTCCCAAATTCAATACTTTAGTGCTTTGAATGTTTGAGAGTTTGATCAAAAACAAATTAATGAAAGTATTAATGATTGTAAAGTGTGCTCCTGTAACTCAGGCACGACAAGTAGTTACTGAAAAACGTTATCCTAAGCTATTGTGCGCAACTGCATTGCAAATGCATTTTAACATCTGTGATGAGGCAAATATTGCAGCCTTCACGCGAATAGCCTAAATTTAAATCCTCCTAGCGACGCTAACTAAAACAATGGCAAATGTACATTTCACCATCTCAGGTTGGTTCAGGGTAAGTCGCACTCGTTTTTTTACAAATGTGACCAGGGCACTTGGATAATATGCTGTCCGAGGCCGTTCTATCGCAGGTGCTTGTTTAAAAATAGTTGCTCGTGATTCAGAGGCCAATGACCATAACTGGGGCGGTGTGGCTAAGTGGATGCTCCGTCATTTGAGACGCAACACGTCCCACCTGCCTTTGTGCGTGCGTGCTCCACACGTGTTCGTGTACACGTGCAGCTGCTCCTCGTAACCATATACACTGCACGCACACATCCATGACGCCGTGTAACTAAAGCACGTTGTCTACAATCATGTATACGTGGTATCCTCCACACACAACGCATGCGCGCACATCTTCTTGCAACAGGACACTAACACGCTTGGGCACCCGTTTACAGAATGGGCACAGCGAACGCATGACAGCCACAATTGTGCGTGTGACCGCTACCACAGCCCACCACGTATTGCGCTAGTGTATGCACACGACCCTTAAACACATGTCGTGCCACACACCACACACCCCAGCTTGAACTACAGCACACCAAATACCCCCACTTGCTGTGACATGTCAATTGTGAGGTGAAATTGTCAGTGTGCATACATTCCATTTTACTGCATGCACTCACATTATGTGGAAGTGTAATTGTGATGACCTGTTCAAAAGTTGTTGGGTTTATTTTTTTCTTCTCATTTTTTACCCACTTTCAGTTATGTTTACCTGGTATAAAATAAATACATACCAATAGTGACATCAAAATATATAAAGAATATTGTAGGGTATTGAGACGTCACTTTTTAATTATAATCGGCCTTTGTTAATCGTTTAAGTATGATAAGATGCCGCAAAATGCCTTTGTTTTTCTGCAAGTGCAGAATTAACCTAATAACAGTTGTGAAAACAAATCTTAAGTGAAAGTGGGCAGCATAGCCTCTGATGGAATGTTTGCAAATGGAACTGTGGTGAAACATTTGCATCCAACGTTAAGTCCACAAATGGTATATTCCAGTAAAACATTAATGGGAAAATATAATAATGTTACTACATTCTACTTGTGGCAAATAGTCCAATGGTAGCATTATTAGTACATTTAAAATAATTGTATGTTTACTTTAGGTACTCTGCTTTAAGGCATCATACTGTATACCAATAATCGTTATAATTTTGGCATATTGTGATATTCTTTAGTTCAAACATACTAGTGCTTTTAATTACACTTTCCGTATAGATACATGTTTGACAGTCTCGAGCAGTGGTAGGCAACCTGAGGCCCGCAGGCTGCATGTGGTCCAAGGTGCCCCTTGTGGTGGCCTGTGTTAAGGGTATCTAGGCTTATGCGTGGGGGTCATGTACCCCACTGACCATCGCTGGTCTATAGTATACTGGAAAACAATATAAGCACTATATTACTTATTGGTGTTTATGAAGCCATGTTTCCACAAGTAATAATTGTAGAGAACAAGCTGCTGTAGTACTTGGTCCATTTGTCACCTAAACGTTGCCCAAATACTTCACCACAGTAGTATGTGTTGTACCGTCTGTGACAGATTTCCTGCTGAAATAAAATCTGAAATCCGATTTTGAAGTATCCACGTCTACAATAAAAGTTTGTTTTGCCTGGCATTTGGCTATGTGTTTTAATTTCGAGCAATAAACAATAAAAATGTGACTTGGTGAATATGCCCCTTATTGCAAGCCATGAAAGCTTGCGGCCAATACGGCCCTCTTTTAGAGGTCAATTAATCATATTACATAACAAAATTAGCAAAGTAAGGTATGTTAATAGCAAAATAACTTCCCATATTTATAACTACATACAAAATATAAATATTTACAGTCAATTGGCTGTATGGTCTTCTGGCAAGAGCATTAAAACAGGATTGGTTCAAAACAAGAACCGGAGCGTTTTCCCACATTCAGAATCTTATCCACAGACAGGTTTGCTTGAGCCAATGTTGGTGACTTGATCCTTGCTTAAAAACATGGCTTCAAGCAAGCCTGATTTTTCTGATGAGATACAATTTTGAAACCAATGCAGCTGATAAGATGTACTCCCTGATGGCCGTGCAGCAGATTGAGTTTTCTAAGAAATAGTAAAAAAAAATACATAGTTACAAATAAGGGAAAGGGGCGTTATGTATAACCTATCGTACAAATCGGTAAGTATATTGGTTTAGGAATAGGTTTTACCCTTTTAACTGGCACAAAAACTGACACCTTTATTCAAGGCATCATGTTTGCAATAAGCACAACACAAGCAGTCAAAATGCAAACAAAAAAGAGACAACTCTGATAATAATATGCACTGTCCTTGAATTTGATTGGTCCACACCCGAGACAGCTTTTCTTAGAGCCTAGTCTCCATTGGTGTTGGACCAGAAGATGCCAAAAGGCGTACAACTCAAACAGCGCACTATCAGAGTATTGAGGGCTCGGGGTGAGCATTAACATTGAGACCTCCTTTGCCAGAAACAAGATATAGGAATAGGTTTTACCCTTTTAACTGGCACAAAAACTGACACCTTTATTCAAGGCATCATGTTTGCAATAAGCACAACACAAGCAGTCAAAATGCAAACAAAAAAGAGACAACTCTGATAATAATATGCACTGTCCTTGAATTTGATTGGTCCACACCCGAGACAGCTTTTCTTAGAGCCTAGTCTCCATTGGTGTTGGACCAGAAGATGCCAAAAGGCGTACAACTCAAACAGCGCACTATCGGAGTATTGAGGGCTCGGGGTGAGCATTAACATTATGAGACCTCCTTTGCCAGAAACAAGATATAGGAATAGGTTTTACCCTTTTAACTGGCACAAAAACTGACACCTTTATTCAAGGCATCATGTTTGCAATAACCACAACACAAGCAGTCAAAATGCAAACAAAAAAGACAACTCTGATAATAATATGCACTGTCCTTGAATTTGATTGGTCCACACCCGAGACAGCTTTTTTTAGAGCCTAGTCTCCATTGGTGTTGGACCAGAAGACGCCAAAAGGCGTACAACGCAAAAACAGCGCACTATCAGGGTATTGAGGGCTCGGGTGAGCATTATTATCAGAATTGTCTTTTTTGTTTGCAATTTGACTGCTTGTGTTGTGGTTATTGCAAACATGATGCCTTGAATAAAGGTGTCAGTTTTTGTGCCAGTTAAAAGGGTAAAATCTATTCCTATATCTTGTTTCTGGCAAAGGAGGTCTCATAAAGTATATTGGTTGTCACATTTGCAAGCAAATCGAAAAGACTGGGTCATAAGAGTCATGTGTTTTGAACCCCATGTCTATGCAACAGTCTAATATGGCAGTCATGGATAACTAAACTCTAAAGGTATAGTTTGCATTCAGTACAGAAAGAAAGCAGGGCATTTGAATCCACATCGACTGGAGCCAGGCCTGGAAATGTAACTTCTACATTTTGGTTTTGGGGCAATAATATCCAAGCATAATCACACTGGTAATTGTATAAAATGCTAAAGCTCACTAATTAGTGCTTAATATGAAACTGGCCATTTTGTTGTATCATGGCTCCATTGCCAATAGGAATATTGAACATCCACCTGTCTGACAACTCCCACAACTACTGTCCTCGCCCATATATTGAACACCGCTTTGTTGGAAAATGCAATATTTCCTGAAAATCCAGTCTGCAAGGATTAGACCTTTTTTTTAATCAATGACAAATTGATATCTTTACACAATTCAAACATTTAATTCAAACATTAACTTCCTATCAACATTTAAGTTATGTCGATCCATTAAAAACATGTGTTTAGCGATTGATTAATTATATTCCAATTGTGCTGTCGGTGTCATGCCCTCAGACTGAACAAATTTGTAACTCCAGCCTCTATCTAACATTGCACCACCTTGACTGAGAACCACTTTGTAAAATATCACGCAATGACTTCTCTCGTCACTTAATAGACACTAGGAGCGCACCTTGTACATGTCCTGCATGGTCGCATTTCAATAAAAAAATGGAATTCTCAGAGCTGAAATTTGTATTTTTTATCAAAACCAAATGTAATGTATTTTTACGCTGAGGCCATGGACGCGCGACACGTGAGAACCTGGTTTAATCATAGATGACTTAACCATGGAATGAACCCAGGTTGTCTCCACAGTATTGGCCACAGTGCTCTGTAAAACAACTGATAAATGGGCACATAAAACACATCCTTCACGAATCTGTCCCTCCATATATAAAAAAAAAAACATACATCCCATTCGTATGAGTGCAACACGACCAAACTGAACCGGTTTCAACATTAAAGTGTCTCATTAGCAGTCAAGCTTGCTTGAACCAATGCCGGAGAACCACTAGATGTGTTCAGGCAAGGACTTTCTGTTAAATATGAGTCCCCAGTTCGATATAACCAATGCTGGTAATATGCACGATATTAAAATACGTGTGGTTGATGAGATGTGTAAAACAAAACTTGTATTTATTTGTGTGGAGGGACATGTATGTGAAAGAGGTGCATTGCGTGCTTATGCATTTTACTACTTGTAATTAAAATAAATATACTTAACGTGATGCTCCTCCGGATCGAGAGAAGCCAGTTGAGGTGGTTTGGGCATCGGGTAAGGATGCTCCCCGGTAGACTCCCCCTGTAACTCTACAGGGCACGTCCCACTGGGCGAAGACCCCGGGACCGGCCCAGGACAGGCTGGCGGGACTATGTCGCTCGGCTGGCCTGGGAACGTCTGTAAATTCCCCAGGAAGAGCTAGGGTCTGTTGGTAAGTAGTGTACAATGTATAGTAATGTATAGTAGTTTAGTAGTGCTGGAGTCTGTCGCCAGGGAAAGAGAGGTCTGGGCCGCCCTACTCAACATGCTGCCGCCGCGACCCTCAACCAGGACAAGCGGACTGAGAAACGAACGCACGACGCTTGGCGTGTGTTCTCCATGCCGATGCGATGTCAATCATTGATTGCTGCGTCGAGGAACTAGGCGCGAACGCGCAGGGATCGATTTTAAACGCGCGCGCCCTCCTCGCCGATTGGACCGCTCGGCTTTGTGGGCGGAGTCTAAGCGGCGATATAAAATCCCCGGTTGGCGGTGACGCGTTTCCTGTCGGAGGTCGCCGTTAATGGACGAGGTCGAGGTTAAAGGATCCCCGGGTCGCGTCGAGTTAAAAAAAAGACAAAAAAAATACTATCTTCGTAATAAACAACGCGGCAAACACTGATCCGCGCAACCACGCGTTGTTATTATTACTATTATTGTGAGGCGACTCTTTAAAGGTTAATTGGAGCGCGTCTAAAACTTTAAAGAAATATAAGCCGTGACGTCACGCAGAGGCCCTCGAAACCGTTTAATGCCGTTGAGTCTCTAACGTCGGTACAGCGGCGTTTTTTGTTTACGATTAAGCGTTTTACAATAGTAACCAGCAGCTATTTTATAACCGCAATAGCAGCAACAGCTACGATAAATCGTCACGTTAATACAACGAATCCCGGAGCGCAAAAAAAAAACCGTAATTGCTAATAGCGCACATCAAAATCACTTCGCATTTTGAACAATGGGGGACTCCAACCAGTACGTTGATGGGCCGGGCCAGGTTGGACCCACGGCGCAGCTGGACCGTGGCCTCGCAAGCGCGGCCGTGGCAGGCATGGTCTCGGTGGGCCCTTACGTGGAGATGAGCGAAGTGATGTACGCGCAGTTGCACCAAATGGCCTACGCCTCCATAGAAAGCACGGCTACTGGGCAGGGCCAGCAAGCTGTGGAGGAGCAGCAGCAGCAGCAAGAGGGCAGCACTGAAAACGAATGTTTGGAGGAGACATTCGTCGCTACACAAGGGCAGCAGGATCAGCAGCAGGTGGTTGCCCCTGCCCAGGGCAATGCGTTTCAGGCCGGAGTGCAGCAGCAAGGCCACATGGACTTTCACGACCTCAAGGCTATGCTGATGAATGAGCCACTCCCTGCTCACAATGCTGAGATGCCGCAGCACCATCAGCATCGTCATCATCACCAGCAGGAGCAGCAGCAGCAGCTGCTGGTCGTTCACAGTATGGAGAAGCACCCGGAGATGCAGGTGCACGAGGTTGAGTCTTCACGGCTGCTGGATCTGACCACGGTGGGGCCGCGGGACACGGAGGACGAGACGAACTTGGAGGCGAGGGGGGGTGGCACTGTGAGATGCCAGGCGCCGCAAGGAGCAACGGGAGTGAGGGTGCGGCTGGAGGATCGCTTTGCGGAGAATAGCAGCAGCAGCAGCAGGGACTTGATGTGTGAGAAGTTTCTCTCTGCCCAGAGAGAGCAAAGAGGTCCGGCCTTGGAGCACAGCAAGTAAGGGTTAGATTCCCCGTCTGGTTCGTGAGGTCTATGGGGCCAAGGCATCTAGGGAATTGGCAGTGCCAGGGGATGGGGCCCGAGGGTTGATCCCAGAATATGTCTCTATTGTATAACATTTAGAATGGTATAAATGTATGTTGAGTTTGGAAAATATGTTATGGGTTCTGGATTCACCAAATAGATTCCGTGTGCTGGGTAGTAATCGGTGTATGTGTAGGGAAATTATGGGTAATGTGTGGGATTTTTTTGGGTGTTATGTTGCCCTTTAACATGCCAAACATTAATTGAATTGCCCAACCATTCCAATTTAGCACTGTCCTGAAAAACGAGTCTTGAGACAGTGGGAAAATAAATGCCATACTTTTATATTTATGAGGTTTTCCTCAACTTGTAACGTTGGAAGTGTCACAATGTATATTAGATGCGCATCTAAATGGCTGAGACAAAAGTGTGCCTTTCAATATAAGATCGAGGGGCTTTACTGCACAACTTACTGCACTGTGATGGCCTGTGTCCTGCAGCTTGGTGCCTGTGGCTCACCACCTGGCTGAGTATTGTGGGCAGCAGACTCTGGAGCAGCAGCATCAGCAGCAGCTGCATTCAGACCCAATCATTGGGAAGGTCGTTTCAGGCCCCAGCTCCTCGGTCGTGCAGTTTGTGTTCCCCGGTTACAAGCAACATAAGTGCTTTCCCGACAGTGCCAAGGTGAATGAGCCATGTTCGTTTTGTTCTACATCAAATCACTGTGAGTATGCTCGTTCTCATCAGAACTCACAAGCAAGGTTGAGTCTGGTTAGTAATTGAAGTGTTCCATAGTTCCATTTATTTGGTATAGCCCTGTGAGCCATTCGGCTCTTGAATCGGGTGCAACCGCAACAAACAAAAAACATGAACAAGAAAACATCTTAAAGTGACTGTGACTGTGCAAACAGAAAATCCAGGAAAAAACATCAAAATATTCCTGAAATAGCACCGTACACCAACGCTGTGTGCAAAAATCCCAGTGGGATGCAAGTCAAACAACAACAACCACAAGACAACTAAGATTAAGGCCATCAGTCTAACTCCGTACTACAATAAACAAAAACATGGCCAAACCAAAAAACTTTTTGAACTCACCAAAATAAAGCCATAAATGCAATTTAACAGTGATCATAGGGACTGTTACCGAATTTTTAACAATAAACTACATAAATAACATGTAACACCAAACCCTAGAGCCATAGCTGGCTGCATGAGTCACTCCACAGGAGCTTCAGTCAGAGTATCATTTTTCAATGCACCTTTAAGATCAGCACACAATCAAAGTACAGTTAATACTTTGCAGCGGTCATCCGGAGCGAAACATTTTATTTTATTTTAGGCCACTGAATAGCAGTGGCAGCTAGGGGTGTACAACTCCTCGAGCAGTTTTGAGTGAAGAGTTGCAGTTTATTGGCAATAGCATTCCAGACCCTGGGGGCATCAATAGCAAAGGCCCTTCTGGTTTTTGTACGGCAATAGGGAATGTGAAGCTGGTAAATGAGTGAAGACCTGAGGTCAAATTTGTTCTTTGAACCAGAGAGGAGATCCAGCAGGTAGTCTGCGGATTATTTTGTAATACATCGTGAATAAATAAGATCTGGTGCACAAGCCGTCGAACATTAAGAGATGTTAAGTTTGACCCAATGTAGAGATCACAGTGGTGAGTCCTATATGGGCAGTTCAGTGCAAATCTTAAGGCCGAGTGATAGATGGAATCAAGCTTCTTCAGTACATTACTTGGGGCTGATTTATACACGATATCACAGTAATCAAGTAGAGGCAGTATGGTAGCTTTTATCAATTCCAAACGGAACATAGGGGGGAAGCAGTTTTTGTGTCGATACAGAAAACCAATTTTTATTTTTGTCTTTCTACCAATATAATCAATGTGATCTTCAAAATTCAGTTTTTAATCCAAGATGACCCCAAGATACTTATAGATCTTGACTTGCTCTATTTGATAATTATTTAAGGAATGTAATTAGGGAAAAATAACTTCCTGCTTTAGTCCCGGTAAGAAGCATAGCACCTTGGTTTTGGAGGTATTCAGGACTAGTTTAAGAGCAACTAGCTGATGTAGTTTGTTGAAATCACCCTGGAGCTTTGCAATCACGTCATCCGGAGAGCGGCCAGCAGTAATCAGTATCGTGTCATCTGCAAAAAGATTTACCCTGGAATGATCCAGGTCAGTGCCCAAGTCATTGACATAAAGTGAATACCCGGTGTAAGCTTGGGCTGCGAGGTGGCCAGGAGATGGCATCACATTCTTTAATCTAACTGTGCTGGGCTTTGAGTGTTTCCCTTCATATGCGTGGGTTTTCTCTGGTTTCATCCTACATGCTAAACACCCTTTAATTGGTCTAATATCCCAATACCAAATATCCCATGGTAAGGTTTCCCTGGGTAAATAAAAAGCATTGTAACACAAGTCAAGGGTACATGTTTGGATGTGGTCAATGGCAAGATGGGGCTAATCATGTACTTTGACCCGAAATAAAATGCTTTGGAGGTGTGGGTCTCAGATTTGTGAGCTTCCCAAACCCACTGAGCTGGAAAATGAGTAAATCAAGTGGGCTAATTAACTTATCTATGCTTACCTTTGAGGGTTTGTCTTGCATGTTTGGCTTAATTCGGCTTCTAAGGTTTACGCCCATAATTGGGGTTTACTCCATGGTGGCTTTTGACATTGTCACTAGGTGGGGCTATTGTGAGTTACCTCTGAAAATTTGGTGTTCTAATTAAGAAAAAAACATCGTCATGTAATTGGCCTTCCCGTGAAAGTGATATCACTTATCTACCAACGGTAGGCATTTATAAACAATACGAAACAAAACAACAGCACTCAAATTCTGCCCCCATGACCCTCAGGTCCACACTACACAACCCCTTTGACACTGCGAAAAGCCTGAAGAACAATTAAAGATCAAAGCGTAATTAAAGATCAGCTGACACGACTGAACAAATAAGCCAAGGCAACCAAGACACCACATACTGTACAATAACAGCCACATAACGTAGTACACCCACCTACGTGGAGGCCGTGACCTGTTATATTAGCACAGTGAAACCTAGCGTTGTGACATAGTAATTACAGCTGTGGGCGCCACCCAGAATGGGTCTCAAACGGCGTGGCTAAAATGCGAAGCTAATCTCAATGAATTCAGGGAAATCTCTCACTCGGACGCCTTCACAGCCGCCCAGAGACCTCCCCGAGGCACAAATCAGACTGTTGCAGCGGTTTCTAAAATTAACAACTTAAAATGTTTTCTTCATTAGGCAAGTAACGTTGAAAGAATCATATTTTAAAAAAAATTCAAACGCAACAAAATGTATAGAAAAATAATTTTAGACAAAATTTAGAATTTCCAGCTGCTTGGTGGAGTGGCGCCCCAACGCCCTTAGTGGACGAACCGCGCATGGTTTTACTGTAAAAATATGGAACAGCTGAACTGAGATTACAAGAGGAAACGTGTCGTCACTAACAGTTACATTACAAAATGTCTTAAAAAAATGCATCGCGACAAGTAAATAGAGAGAAACATTAAAATGGGAAAAGTAGGAACCATAACTTTGCTGAATACGATCCTAATAACCAATGTAACATATGCTTGAATAACTTAAAAATGACTGCAAAATTGGGGCTCAAAATAATTTAGCAGAATAAGTCACGTGCAATTCACTAAACAAATACAATTATTGTTGTTGACGGGACTTCTGATGAAACAGCAGAATATGTATAACCAGGGCAAATATTTGAAGGTGGATCTGAACAAAAATTACGAAATACAGAGGTGAGCAAGATTAGGTTGGAGTGCTTTTGGATAATGATAATGAAAAAGCAACATGCCAGTATGCCAAAAGAGCGACGTTTTCCATTAGTAAATATTGCCTGATATATAAATAATCAAACATGAACAAAAACTGAAGAGTATCTGAAGGAGTTTGGATGCATGCTCGGACCAGAAATCATACATTCCGAAAAATGAATACTAATTTGAACTCTCTTCTTTGGTTCTTTCGGTAAAGTCACGTGACTTTACCGAAAGAACCAAAGAAGATGAATCATTGCAGTCACGAAAGCTTTAAATCGTAATTTGAACTCATCAAATGTGCTGTGGACAAACTGCTGCATTCAAATAATGTGCCTCTTGTTTGTTGTTGTGTTAAAAATTGTTGCTCAGATGGTGCTTCCACCTCAAAATATACCGACAGAGCAGTTACTGGAGTCTTTGCACATGAAGTTCAACCAGGGCTTGGAGGCCCCAATGCACATGGGTTCGCTGGCACCACCAGTCTTTCGCACAGACAAGCATCCATCCACACAGCCCCGGAGGAGCCAAGAAGGTGCGGTGGTCACTTTTCGACATACAACAATGGCAGTACCTGTCCCTAGTCACGATAAGTGTGTTTGTGTGTTAATAAATAAAAAGGGAAGAGCAGTTGTTACCACACTTTTTTTTTAACAAAGGAATATGCACTCATCTCCACTTGTACATACTCGTATAATCCTCAGTCTTAGTGTGTGCAGTCAAAGTGTCTGCATGAGTATATGTGAGTGTGGACAAGCATGAGTTTATGCGTATGTGCGCACACGTGCCTCTTTGCATTTGTTCAGAGTTGGAGAAGGAACTGCCCAATGTTTTCAACGAGGCCAAGGTACAGCCCAAGCGGCACCTCGACAGGTCGGAGCGCAAGACCCTGGGTGACATCAGCAACAAGATGAGGGGGCAAGCACCGTCGAAAAGCTCGTATGCAAGCACGGCCTCACAGCCGGAGGGCGGGAACTACAAGCGCGTGCGGCACAACCTCATGGAGAGAGATAGGAGGTGTGGCGCGACCCAGGCGCCGGCACGCGGGCTCATGCCTGCGATCCTGTGCCTTGGAGGATCAATGGATCACTTCGATTCGCCAATTTCCCAAAACTGTTGCGATGGTGATATAGCATGTGGGCTTGAGAACCTATCTCTCTATGTAATGTTGGGTGTTGTCTCATCGTGCGTTTTGTGGGTTTTCTGTGGGTACAGTGGTTTCCTTCCACATGCAAAACTTTCACTAATCGACTGTGCCAAACATCCCAGTGCAGAATGTGTCTTAAAAGGAAGCCTGACAGTATCTCTCAGGAAAAAAAAAAATGACATTAAGTTAGAGCAGGGGTCCGCAGCCGAAATAACGTAATTTTTTTTTTCAAATTTGGTAAAAAAAAAATCTCTATTTCAAGAGCCCGCAGTACATGTGAATGCATACTGCACGTACATAACGTCACGCGGTCAGTAAAGAGCCGCATGCCTCTCCGGAGCCGCGGGTTGCCGACCCCTCTGCCCATGACAATGCTCAAGTGGTCTATTTTCCCTCCTTAGCCTCTCCAGCAATGGGTGTCAATAATACAGTTTGGTGTTCTAAATAAATGAAATGTGACTTAAAAAATGCAAGGTGTGGAGTGGTGGTGCGGTGGTTAGCACACTGCCCTATGAACCGAGTCGCATGAGTTCACATTCTGGCCACATATAACATCGGCGGGGAGTGCTATCTAAACATCCTGGGTCCTCCAATCACCAACCTGTAACGACCAGTGTGGTGACGCATGGTGAAGCAACCCCCTTGATCGACGTGGCTTATGGAGGCAGATTATGTTTGTATAAATGTATTGGTTGAAGGAGAGGTAATGGTTAGTAGTGAGGGAGAGAGTAAGGGGGTGTTATGGAGAAGTAATACGCAGAAGAGAATCATAATTCCTAAATGATAAAAGCATGACAATCTCGAAATGTAAAGCCATTTTAACAAGAGAAAATGAACCCTGCCTCACATTCATTTGAAGAGGGAGAAGCCTTGACTTCTTAATTCCAAAATATCTCAACTTCGCCTCAATTCTAATTTTCAAGAGGCTCCTGTTTGAATTGTTTTGGCCAATTACCAAGCACATCTGCATATAGGAGGAACCCACAGTGCCCATACAAAACCCACGCATAGCAATTTACATTGAACTGACCCAAACACACAGGTTATTGACTGATTGGGTATACTGTCATTTTTTGGCTCCATCTTGTGTGTGCGATCCATCAACGTCCTGCAGCAAGATGAGCAAAGGATTGTCCCCCACCCGCCCGCCCCGTGCTGATTTGTGCAGGCGACGCATTCGTATTTGCTGTGACGAGCTCAACTACCTGGTTCCCTTCTGCAACGTGGAGACGGACAAGGCCACCACCCTGCAGTGGTCAGTCACATTCCTCAAGTACATCCAGGAAAATCATGGCAAGCACCTCAAGCAGGTGAGGCCACACACAACACGGCATCCAAGTTCCAATGCCAGAATTGTATATTGACGACATTACCTCAACACGTAATTTTGCTCGTTCAGAGTTCAATATGTTTAGGTGATGTTTTGTCCAAATTCCAGCTGGTGGTTCATTGTTATCGCAAGCATCTTGCAATTGGAAGGTTGCGAGTTCAAATAATGGTGGGGGGTCGACTGAACACATCATCTCTCCAGGATCAATACAATAGGTACCACTTTGTTGGAAAGGCAACCATAGTTGTCCTATGAATAGACTTGTCCCGGACATAGAGATGTGGAATTTTCACCACTGGTTCAAAGCTGTAAACAGATTAGCACCATCACATTTCTCTTTGAAGGAGGAAATTACACTTTTATAAATCTCAAAGATCATATGAAAAATTTGCCAAAATGTTCATTGATCCATTATCGTTTTAACTTTTATATTTTTTAAAACTTTTTTTATATAATTTTCATATATTTGTTCTATCGGAGTCCTATCAAGAAGCAAATAGATATATGTAGTTCATAATCAATAATGCTCATGGGAAATGGAGATGGACTGAAAGGAAAATACATCTCAAAAAACATACAACTGGAATCTGGTAGATATACATCTAGGTTGTGTATCTCAGACTGACCCGAATTTGAAACTTCGTGAATGAATAATAGACTTTGAAATCCCAGGTAAATGTATCATGAAACCAGTGATGTCACCACAACACTTCCTCCAAACATGTAAATACAACGTCAATGCTGTGATATCACTCGAGCTTACTGTGACTTTAAAGTATTCTTTAAAATAATCAACAAAGCATTAAAACTCATATCAGACAGCCAAAAACACGTACCCTAAGTACGTATGTGCAGGGTGGCAAGAGCTAGTTTTCTGGGCTGTCTTTTAGGAATGCTACCAGTTTAATTAAATCTCCCAAAGCAGCAGTTAAAAGGGAAAGTTGATTTTTTTCTCCCCGCCTCTGTTCACCCAGCAGTATAAATGGCTATACCACAGTAGGTCACGTGTAGTTGGGTGAAGTGTGGGTAACTCCTCCCTCTCCAAATACGTCTGGCCAGCTTGGAAGATTACGAAAAATGACCTCTAGAGGGACTGCAAAGAGCTCCCTCGGTTGGAGGGCCTTCCGGCAGCAGTGGCGTGAGCCAGCATTTTCTAGTCTTTACCTTACGTTCAGCTTTTAAGCAGGGCATCTCTGGGTGTGTGTGTATGTGTGTGACTGCGAGCAACAGGAGTTTGAAAGCATGTTCTGCAACAAGGCAGAGCAGTCAATTAAACCAAAGGAGACGAGCAAGGTGTCAGAAGAAATGATGGCGCCACACACAACCCATTGACACATCTCTCTCTCATCCTGAACAGCTATATCTTAACATTTGGTTCGTCATTTAATTTGCAGTTTGTGCAACGTTTGTATTTTGTCGGGTTTTGTTGGTGAGTTTTTGCACCCATCGGTGTGCAATGGTCATGAATTTGGATCGTTCAAATGCAGAAGAATCCTCGTCATGATCACGCGAATATTGATCGTATTTTTTTAGGAGGAAAGTGTGGCGAGTCCAGCTCATGGAAGAAATGTGCAAGCTAAACATGCTCACAATAACCCTGCGCAATATATTCTCAATGAATATCCGAGGCTAAAGATGATAATTGTTCACTTAATGAGCTTTTTAACTGTCGAATGTACTGTTTGTACAGGTACCATTTTTTCTGGGTAACTGTTGTGGAAATTGTGGCAGTAGTGTAATCGGGTTATATTGCACTGACGATCCTAAACTTTGGTGAAACCAGCCTACAATTTCCATGTCGAGAAGTAAACGTTATACTGATGAACAGGCCATTTGTTACTTTTCCATTATAAATGTGGTGGCTGGATCAGACAGCTATGCTTGTGTATCTAGACTGATGATGCACACGGGGCAGTGAGTTATTTCACGATTTTTTGCACTATACTACAAATAGAGTAGTAACCGTGCTATACTTGAAGTTTGTGTAGATAGAGTATGTGTTTTGAACAGCCATGGCAGGCTTTTGCAGGAGGTAACAGTTGCACATTTGTGTTCCGTAATCTATTTGAGTTGGGCTTTGTAAAAAAAAAACGTTTATGGACCTGAAAACGTATTTGTTAGTCACCATACTTTCAAGACTTTAAGGAAATCATATATCTTGGGTCCTGGAGATGTGATGTTTGTTGATTGGGCAGTGATCTCGGGGAAAGCCATTATTTACAACATGCAATTTCTCGCATTCTTATGTTTTGTTGGTAATTTACTGTTTCGTTAACTTTTGTTATTGTTTGAATGGACTTTGCACTTTTATGTTGGATTTGATTTTGTCAAGAATTTGGAAAATGTTAATATTTAAATATCAACTTGAATGCAAAGCAGCTGGAGTGGTAGCACTGTGTTAGTGCACTGCATTCTGAACCTGCCAAAGGCACATCTGTGTTTGTTGTGAAGCTTGTTAAATAAAGTTGTTTTGTAGTGCAGTGCCCAGTCCATTCAATTCTGTATTTATGAAAATAAATAATACCTTGAAGTTGTGCACTGACTTTCAGTACATAGCCACACATGAGGATGTTGTTCTTAAGGTGCTCACCATCCAAAACTAGCAGTGTGGGACTTGGGTACAGCCCTGGTCTTAGCCATAACCTCTCAACCTTAGTGAAACTAGAGTTACTATTACTGAGTTTTAACAGCTGCCTCCACTGGATGAGATGTGCTTTATAATTAATGTCAGGCTCCCTTTGCTGCTGTGACTCATTTTAGTGTCGTCATCCTGCGTCACATTCCACGTCCAAACAGTTTAATTTGTTGCGTTATGCTCACTTAAATTTCGATTTAAAGCTTTCGTGACTGCAAGGATTCATCTTCTTGGCTCTTTCGGTAAAGTCACGTAGAATGAGAATAAAAGAATAAAACAAATTAAGACAATAAAACTCTCACGACGTTTCGGCCACAACACAAGCGGCCTTCCTCAGGTGAGGAAACAGGTCTATCCAGGAGACTGAGCCCGAGTGGACCCAGTCACGCCAGGACTGAGTCTTATTAAGGCTGTGTGGGCGCAGTTTGATTAGCATGTTACCAGCCCCCACCCGGGGTGGAGGAGGGAGGCGGGGGCTGGTGGAAACAAACACTAATTAATACAAAACAAGTGACGCAGCCAAGATGCGCCGCCGTGTACCGAGCTGCACCATGACATGCATGAGGACCACTATGCAATACAATACCACACCTTCCAATCCAAACTGCATGTTATAACATAGACAAATTCACCTTTGAATTATACAATGCGTTACTTTAGACTACAAAAATATTAGACATTGTAACATTATACTATGTCTTATTCTATGAATCCAACTATTTACCACACTAATGTATATTCACTATGCAATTACGATGCTATATCTTGCCTTATGAGTAAAGTTAAATATTACAATGTTATACTATTAATTGTTATGCTCCATGTTTCAAACCATAACATTAACCATGGTGTGAGAGGTATTAAGAGGCAATGCCAGCGAAAAAGGGTTGCGGTCTGAAGGTCACCGTGAAAGACAATTAAGAACCAAAATGGTTTAAAACATCTTTCCAATGGTTACTAAGACAGAATCCATCTTCTCGGTTGAAATTGTCTCTGTGTTTGTATATGTGGATGGCCTCATGAACGAATCTGTCTTGGTAGCCGGTTGGCTTGCAAAGAACCTCCGTCTTGGAGAAATCAATGTCATGTGAGCCCACTGAATTATAACAGTGATCGGCCACGGCAGAGGAGTTCGTCCTACCGTGTTTCAAGTCTGCTTTATGTTTGCGGATGCGGTCTGAGATATGTCGTTTGGTTTCTCCAATGTAGCTGCTACCACAGAGGCACTTTAGATTGTAAACACTCGGGTACTGTATGTCTGGAACAGCATCTTTTACAGATGGAACCAGATCACGGATTTTATGTACTGTGTTGAATCGGACCTGGATCTTGTGTTTGTTCAGGATTTTGGAGATCTTTTTTGTGACCCCCGCAATGTAGGGTAAGGTGATGGTTTTGAATGGCTCCTCAAGGTGATCCTTCTTCATGACTGGAGTGATGGCTTTGCGGATTGTGTAGTCGGAGTAACCATTAGCCTTGAGAGTTTGGTGTCCGTGTTTGAATTCACTGGCAATGTGATCCTGGTCGGAAATGCATTGGGCTCTGTGGTATAGGTTCTTGATGCGGGAGTTCTTCTGGGATGGATGGTGGTGGGAATCCGGTTTAAAGTAAGCATCCGTATGGGTCGCTTTCCTGTAGACCGAGTGGCTCATTGAACCATCAGGTCTCCTTTTAATTAAGACATCCAAAAAGGTAGCTTGCCTTCTTTTTAGAGCTCCATGGTAAATCTGATGGCTGGGTGTATGGAGTTGATGTGGTTGAGGAATTGGTCTAAAGCAGGTAAGCCATGTGGCCAGATAACAAAGGTGTCATCTACGTACCTCTTCCATAAGGTCGGGCGTAGAGTGGCAGTCTGGATGGCGTGAGTTTCACATTTTTCCATGAACACGTTGGCTACCACTGGAGATAGGGGGGAGCCCATTGGGGTGCCATCAGTCTGTTTGTAGAAAGTTCCATTCCAGGTGAAGTATGTGTTGGTTAAGCAATGTCTCACAAGGGGGGTACCTCCGTATGTAGTCCTTGATTAACCAGGTCTTCAATGATCGCGATGGTGTCAGGTACCGGAACTTTCGTGAATAAGGACACCACATCAAAACTGACAAGCAGGTCGTCTGGGGACGGGGAAATGCCCTTGATTGTCGATACCAGGTGAGTAGAATTTAGTACCGCAGAGGTGTTTTTTCCAGTGAAAGGTCGCAGTATATCAGCCAGAAAACGCGCCAGTTTGTAGGTGGGGGAGTTTATAGTGGAGACGATGAGACGCAGGGGTGTATCTTCTTTGTGTATCTTTGGAAGGCCATATAATCTTGGTGGTCTGGCAGTAGAGGGTTTCAATGAGAACTGTTTGGTCTGATTAATTAATGCTGTTGAATCAGAGATTACTTTGTTTGTTTTGGTAACCAGGTTGTTGGTGGGATCTCTTCTTATTTTTGTATAGCTGCCATCGTTGAGTAGTTCTTGAATTGTGTTGTTATATTCTATTTTGTCCATGATGACAGTGGCATTGCCCTTGTCGGCTGAGAGGATGACAATGTCATCTCTCTTTTTTAATTGAGATAATTCAAAGCGTTCATCTTTGCTGATGTTGCTAGGTGGCATCTTAGCGTTTTTGAAGGTTGCAGCGATTTCAGATCTTGCTACGTCTGCAGCAATGTGGCCCAGGCCCTTAAGTGCAACGTCGACATGGGCAATGATATCATTATCTGGTATGTGTCTCGGTGTGACAGCAAAGTTTAGCCCTTTAGCTAAAACGGATTTCAGGCCATCAGAAATGGAACTGTTACTGCGATTAATTACGACTTCGTTAACGTCTATCTTTTCGGTGTGTGGATCCGATTTTTTGGAAAGGCGATTGAATTTGGAAATCAAATTGTCCTTACACTTGGTCGACCTAGTGGCAGCTGAAGAGGTAGTCGTATTGTCTACATGTTCCCAATCCGATGTAGACATTGTTGCTGTCAATGTTAAGTGTGATTTGTAGAGTGTCTTGTCTAACTGATCTAGTTCGGTGCGTGTCAGTCTGATTTTTTCGGATATAAGAGCTAGGCTAGTTCTAGCAAGAATTCGTTTTGCATTAAAAGAAGTTGCGGCAGCAGAGGTCAGTGTAAATGCGGTTGGTATTACCTTAGAGTCGCGGCATCTCTTCAGAAAGGTGAGAGACTCGATTAGTTTAGCCTTCTTATCTCGGAGTTTGTTGAAGGATCTTAAAGTTGTGTGGAATCCCTCACCGTAGAGGTGGTTAAATTTCGATTTAAAGCTTTCGTGACTGCAAGGATTCATCTTCTTGGTTCTTTCGGTAAAGTCACGTAGAATGAGAATAAAACAATAAAACAAATTTAGACAATAAAATTCTCACGACGTTTCGGCCACAACACAAGCGGCCTTCCTCAGGTGAGGAAACAGGTCTATCGAGGAGACAGAGCCCGAGTGGACCCCGTCACGCCAGGACTGAGTCTTATTAAGGCTGTGTGGGCGCAGTTGGATTAGCATGTTACCAGCCCCCACCCGGGGCGGAGGAGGGAGGGGGGGCTGGTGGAAACAAACACTAATTAATACAAAACAAGTGACGCAGCCAAGGTGCACCACCGTGCACCGAGCTGCACCATGACATGCCATGAGGACCACTATGCAATACAATACCATACCTTCCAATACAACACAGTACATAAAATCCGTGATCTGGTTCCATCTGTAAAAGATGCTGTTCCAGACATACAGTACCCGGGTGTTTACAAACTAAAGTGCCTCTGTGGTAGCAGCTACATTGGAGAAACCAAACGACATATCTCAGATCGCATCCGCGAACATAAAGCAATTTGAGATATGTCGTTTGGTTTCTCCAATGTAGCTGCTACCACAGAGGCACTTTAGTTTGTAAACACTCGGGTACTGTATGTCTGGAGCAGCATCTTTTACAGATGGAACCAGATCACGGTATTTATGTACTGTGTTGTATTGGAAGGTATGGTATTGTATTGCATAGTGGTCCTCATGGCATGTCATGGTGCAGCTCGGTGCATGGTGGCGCACCTTGGCTGCGGAACTTGTTTTGTATTAATTAGTGTTTGTTTCCACCAGCCCCCGCCTCCCTCCTCCGCCCCGGGTGGGGGCTGGTAACATGCTAATCCAACTCTGCCCACACAGCCTTAATAAGACAAAGTCCTGGCGTGACGACGTCCACTCGGGCTCTGTCTCCTGGATAGACTTTGTTTCTTCACCTGAGGAAGGCCGCTTGTGTTGTGGCCCGAAACGTCGTGAGAATTTTATTGTCTTAATTTGTTTTATTGTTTTATTCTCATTCTACGTGACTTTACCGAAAGAACCAAGAAGATGAATCCTTGCAGTCACGAAAGCTTTCAATCGAAATTTAACCACCTCTACGGGGAGGGATTCCACACAACTTTAAGATCCTTCAACAAACTCTGAGATAAGAAGGCTAAACTAATCGAGTCTCTCACCTTTCTGAAGAGATACCGCGACTCTAAGGTAATACCAACCGCATTTACACTGACCTCTGCTGCAGCAACTTATTTTAATGCAAAACGAATTATTGCTAGAACTAGCCTAGCTCTTTTATCCGAAAAAATCAGACTGACAAGCACCGAACTAGATCAGTTAGACAAGACACTCTACAAATCACACTTAACATTGACAGCAACAATGTCTACATCGGATTGGGAACATGTAGACAATATGACTACCTCTTCGGATGCCACTATGTCGACTAAATGTAAGGACAATTTGATTTCCAAATTCAATCGCCTTTCCAAAAAATCGGATCCACACACCGAAAAGATAGACGTTAACAAAGTCGTAATTAATCGCAGTAACAGTTCCATTTCTGATGGCCTGAAATCCGTTTTAGCTAAAGGGCTAAACTTTGCTGTCACACCGAGACACATACCAGTTAACAATATCATTGCCCATGTCGACGTTGCACTCAAGGGCCTGGGCCACATCGCTGCAGACGTAGCAAGATCTGAAATCGCTGCAACCCTCAACGCTAAGATGCCACCTAGCAACATCAGCAAAGATGAACGCTTTGAATTATCTCAACTAAAAAAGAGAGATGACATTGTCATCCTCTCAGCCGACAAGGGCAATGCCACTGTCATCATGGACAAAATAGAATATAACAACAAAATTCAAGAACTACTCAACGATGGCAGCTATACAAAATAAGAAGAGATCCCACCAACAACCTTGTTACCAAAACGAACAAAATCATCTCTGATTCAACAGCATTAATTGATCAGACCAAACAGTTCTCGTTGAAACCCTCTGCTGCCAGACCACCAAGATTACATGGCCTTCCAAAGATACACAAATAAGATACACCCCTGCGTCCCATCGTCTCCACTATCAACTCCCCCACCTACAACTGGGACGTTTTCTGGCTGATATACTGCGACCTTTCAATGGAAAAACCACCTCTGCGGTACTAAATTCTACTCACCTGGTATCGACAATCAAGGGCATTTCCCCGTCCCCAGACGACCTGCTTGTCAGTTTTGATGTGGTGTCCTTATTCATGAAAGTTCCGGTACCTGACACCATCGCGATCATTGAAGACCTGGTTAATCAAGGACTACATACGGAGGTACCCCCTTTGTGAGACATTGCTTAACCAACACATACTTCACCTGGAATGGAACTTTCTACAAACAGACTGATGGCACTCCAATGGGCTCCCCCCTATCTCCAGTGGTAGCCAACGTGTTCATGGAAAAATTTGAAACTGACGCCATCCAGACTGCCACTCTACGCCCGACCTTATGGAAGAGGTAAGTGGATGACACCTTTGTCATCTGGCCACATGGCCGACCTGCTCTAGATCAATTCCGCGACCACATCAACTCCATACACCCAGCCATCAGATTTACCATGGAGGTCGAAAAGAAGGCAAGCTACCCTTGTTGGATGTCTTAATTGAAAGGAGACCTGGTGGTTCAATGAGCCACTCGGTCTACAGGAAAGCAACCCATACGGATGCTTACTTGAAACCAGATTCCCACCACCATCCATCCCAGAAGAACTCCCTCATCAAGACTCTATACCACAGAGCCCAATGCATTTCCGACTAGGATCGCATTGCCAGTGAACTCAAACACATACACCGCATACACCAAGCTCTCAAGGCTAATGGTTACTCCGACTACACAATCCGCAAAGCCATCACTCCAGTCATGAAGAAGGATCCCCTTGAGCCATTCAAAACCATCACCTTACCCTACATTGCGGGGGTCACAAAAAAGATCTCCAAAATCCTGAACAAACACAAGATCCAGGTCCGATTCAACACAGTATATAAAATCCGTGATCTGGTTCCATCTGTAAAAGATGCTGTTCCAGACATACAGTACCCGAGTGTTTACAAACTAAAGTGCCTCTGTGGTAGCAGCTACATTGGAGAAACCAAACGATATATCTCAGACCGCATCCGCGAACATAAAGCAGACTTGAAACACGGTAGGACGAACTCCTCTGCTGTGGCAGATCACTGTTAAAATTCAGTGGGCTCACATGACATTGACTTCTCCAAGACGGAGGTTCTTTTCAAGCCAACCGGCTACCATGAGAGATTCGTTCATGAGGCCATCCACAAATACAAACACAGAGACAATTTCAACCGAGAAGATGGATTCTGGCTGAGTAACCTTTGGAAAGATGTTTTAAACCATTTCGGTTCTTAATTAATTGTATTTCACGGTGACCTTCAGACCGCAGCCCTTTTTCGCTGGCATTGCCTCTTAATACCTCTCATACCATGGTTAATGGTATGGTTTGTAACATGGAGCATAACAATTAATAGTATAACATTGTAATGTTTAACTTTACTCATAAGGCAAGATATAGTATCGTAATTGCATAGTGAATATACATTAGTGTGGTATATGGTTGGATTCATAGAATAAGACATAGTATAATGTTACAATAGTCTAATGTATAGGGTAGTATAAAGTAACGCATTGTATAATTCAAAGGTGAATTTGTCTATGTTATAACATGCAGTTTGGATTGGAAGGTGTGGTATTGTATTGCATAGAGGTCCTTATGGCATGTCATGGTGCAGCTCGGTACACGGTGGCGCACCTTGGCTGCGGAACTTGTTTTGTATTAATTAGTGTTTGTTTCCACCAGCCCCCCCTCCCTCCTCCACCCCGGGTGGGGGCTGGTAACATGCTAATCAAACTGCGCCCACACAGCCTTAATAAGACTCAGTCCTGGCGTGACGGGGTCCACTCGGGCTCTGTCTCCTGGATAGACCTGTTTCTTCACCTGAGGAAGGCCGCTTGTGTTGTGGCCGAAACGTCGTGAGAATTTTATTGTCTTAATTTGTTTGTTTTATTCTCATTCTATATGCTCACTTACTTGAGCAGACCAGTTTGGTTTGGATTTGATGGTGAAACATGCTTCTCAATGCAACTGCAGCCCAGTGTTTGAGTTAGTTATATGTGTGTGAATATGAACATCTGCAGCATGCTGGTTCGTATACAATGGTTTATATGTAAGGTGTGTTTTATGATTTTCCTACGCATAACATGAACAGTTATTTAAAATGCAATAAATATAGTGACCAAAGTTCGTTCATTCTTCCTTCCTTATTACTGCCAATGGAAGCGAACATTTATGTTTGTCATTTTAATTGTGGGGGGAGGACATTGTTGACTAAGCCCCAGGTTTGGTGATGCCGTATTGAGCCATTAGATGGCAGTATGCACCCATACGATTGATACTGTAATGGTAAAACAAATCATGAGCTTAGTGGCTGAGGTGTCATCGCCTCTCAAACCCACGCCACTGCCTCCACTAGAGGGAGCTCAAGATAACCCGAAATTAACTTGGTTTAGGCCGAGTCAACCAGGAAATTCACATTGTGATCGCCACTTTTCCGCAGACTACACCTGGAGGCTGGAAGGACATTTTCAGTCGGGTCTATACTGTTCAGTACACGAACACAGTTCAAAACAACACCGTAATCAGGGCTCTATACAAATCAGTTCCTTCCACCCGAACACATTGCGCAATTCCCGGGCCAAAAATCTGGACAGTTGGCATCTCTAAAGTCCCCATTCCTCTGACTCCAACGCAATACACGAAAGCTTTAAATCTAGAAGAGATGTTAACTATCTCACGTGGTATGCAGGAGGTCAGTGGGTTCGATCTCGACCCTGACAGCCTGCTGCTGTATATTTTTGGAGTTTGCATGTCTCCGTGGTCGCGTGGATTTGTCTCCGGGTCCTCGGGGGTTTCCCTCCACATTTATAATCGTGCCTTTTTAGAGTATTTGGCTGATATAAATTTCCACGTGATAAACCACTTCGTTGAGCTCCTATTTGTGACCAGGTCGCTACTGAAAAAGATCAACGAAGCTCAGTTGGCCCTACCTGGTGAAATAAAAAATCATATTATTTGGGTCTTTCGGTAAAGCCACGTAGATAGAAAAAAATATATCACGACGTTTCGATCGCAACGCAAGCAATCGTCTGATGATTATTTTTTCTATCTACGTGGCTTTACCGAAAGACCCAAAGAATATGAATTCCTGCTGTCACGAATGCTTTAAGTCAAGATAAAAATAATAGTTTATAGAATAATAGTTTATAGAGTTTATAGAGTACTATACAGGGTGGTCCAGATGTCTTCTGAGCCCCATTTAAATATCTAAAACTTAATGTTTTTTTAAAAGTAAGGTTTATTTCAAGCAGAAATGAATTACTTGGGAGGTGTGGGTCACAAGACATATGGACCACGCAATATATTGTCGGAAGCCCCCCACGTAAGATGGCCGCGGAATTTGGCTTCGGAGTCGCCTGCAAGGTCGCCCACTGTGGGAAATCACGTGGCCAGTGCCCAGGTCACGTGAGCGTATGGAGGGAGGGGCAGCGAGGGTGAAAGGTGCACCCAGCCTGGCACATGCGCAGTGGGTGACGTCGCCGTCACATCGTGGCGAGCGGCGCTTGTTGGTGGTTGTTGTTGCATACAGAATTAGAATGTCTGTAACTGGGGGAATCCGATGAGCTATAAAGATAAATTTCCACAGATGCCCACTCGGGGAGAGTCAGAACCGGATAACAAACAATACAAAAACACGATAGGAAGGTAAACAAATAGCTTAGAGAAACCATACAAATACAACGACATGTTTTATTTTAAATATCTGTCCAGGCAAAGCCCACTGAGGATTTTTTTTCTTAAGCGACCTGGCCACAAATGTTAGCTCAACCAGGGGGGGGGGGGGTTAGAGGGTGGATAAGATCACGTGATCCAATAAGGGGGGCCAGAGGGTGGATAAGATCACGTGATCCAATAAGGGGGGCCAGAGGGTGGATAAGATCACGTGATCTAACCAGAGGGTGGTTAGATCACGTGATCGTGCCAACGGTCGGGGGCCCTGAGGGGGGGAGGCGTAAGGGTGGAGGGGGTGTAGGGGAGTGCCCCCCCGCCCCGCACAACCCAGTCACGTGGGTGAGCGCGCAGCCAATGCGATGCGTTGTTGAGCGCGAGGCCTCGAGCCCGTGCATAACAAGGCCCCCCCCCTCCCTCCCCCCGCGCGCGCGGGCCCAACCCGGGCCCCGTCTCGCACTCTGCCGCGGCCTCTCGGCGTCTCGCCCGTCACTCGCCGCCGCCGTCCTCGTCCTCCTCGTCAAACCTCGTCCCTCCGATTGACGACGCTCACAAGACGCGCCTCCTCGTTAATGGCATGGACCCAGGAGTAGAAGCTACCGCTGCGGGTGCGTGAGAGAAACAACAGCACAGTTGCGTTGAAGAGAGAGAGAGTGGCCCGTAATTGTGGTGGTTAATTCGCGGTGTTTTGTGTGGGGGGGGGCCGTCTCTTGTGTAAAAGTGACATTGCCGTACAAATTTGGGATTTGTTGTTATTTTTTTGTTGTAACGTGTGTGGCCCCTTTTAGTACAATGTTGATATTTTTGGGGTTTAAAAAAAAAGAGTCGAATTTTGGAACCAAAAATAAATGCTTGTTTTGGCCTCATTGGTGGCATTTGGTGGGCCATTTCTGGTGCAAAAAGTGTTTTGAGCCACACAATTACCACCACTTGGCTTGTTTGTATATTTTACGAATGAGGTTTCTCAAACTTGTGTGCGTTCCACGTATGCACCTTAAGTTTGTTTACCGCATCGTTCGTACACGGGTTATTTTTTTTTAACATACAGTATGGTCAAATCTTTTACAGTAAGCACTGCCCCTGTGCGAATTTCCATTGTTTGGTGATGTTACTGCCACTTTCTGGATGCTGTTGCTGCTGCCGTTTCTGTACTTTGCTCGAGGAGTTTTAGCTCGTAAAATCACCCGCGGTCGAGAGAGCATATAAAAACACCTTCTCGCCACCTATTAATCTCTGCGGTGTAATTTACAACGACGTGGATAAAAGGCAACACACACACATATATATTTATACTCTCTGGTTCTATTGGGTAAAGTCACGTCGGTATTTTTTTTACCTACGTGACTTTACCCAATAGAACCAGAGAGTATGGATCCTTGCAGTCACGAAAGCTTTAAATCTAGAATAGATATTCCATCTCGGGGCTGCCGCTGATTCACACGCGCGACCTTACCGGTCCCTTTAAACGGCACCGCCGCGCGCGTCTGTTGAGGTCGCTCGAGTCAAAACGTGCGGGAACAACGCCACGCGGATTGTCGCGCTGCGTTTACCTATGTGGCGTTGTGGGTGCCCTTGTTATTGTTGTCACAGACTCGGCGACGTGCGTATAAGCTCTATGAAGTGACTTGTAAAACGTCAGTGTCATTTGTCACGAAAGACGGGAAGCTGCTGATGCTGCTACTGCTTCTGCTGCTGCTTCTGCTGCTGCTTCTGCTACTGCTTCTGCTGCTACTGCTGCTTCTGCTGCTGCTTCTGCTGCTGCTTCTTGCTGCTGCTGCTTCTTGCTGCTGCTGCTTCTTCTGCTGCTGCTTCTGCTGCTGCTTCTTTTGCTGCTGCTGCTTCTTCTGCTGCTGCTTGCTGCTGCTGCTTCTGCTGCTTCTTCTGCTGCTGCTGCTTCTTCTGCTGCCGCGTGTGTGCGCTTCATGTAAAGTGATCGATGGCTTTGGCACTGTATTGTGCGTATGTTTGTATGTATGTATGTACGTGTGCGTATGTGTCGAGCCAGTCGATGTATGGATGTTTGCTCGGTTTATTATTGGTGTGCGTGTGTTGCGTATGCCTTGTTAACATAGGTTATGCGGTTTGTTCACTAGGAATATCGCTGTTGCGTTCGCGAGCAGTAATAGGTTTTGTGATTACTCTTAGTTCAGTATAAGTACTGTCCGGTATTTATTTCCTGTTGAAGTGTTGTGTATGCTTCGCGTTGGGCCATGGATGTCCACTGTTATTGTTGTTCCTCTTGTCAGTGCAAGAGCAGTGTGCACTATTTGTGTATCTACTGTACAATGTGTTTACTATTAGTGTGAGTATTGTGTGTATTCACGAAGTATGAATACTGCACCGTGATTGTTTGTGTGAGTTTTCACTGTTAGTGGGGATGTTCGTTTGTTCACTAGTGTAGTTTGCTGTTACTGATCACTCGTGTGGACATTGAGTGTGCGTTAACTCGCTGCGTTGTTACTATGTACCTTTTATTAGTGGAGGTGCTGCGTGTGATCCCTGTTAGTGTGAATACCACCCTGTTCGTGAATTGGTGACCCGCCCATCCTGGACATCTGTGAAAAAGAGCTTCATAGCTCATCGGATTCCTCCAGTCTAAATACATATTTTGATTCTCAGTCCAATGTGCATTAATAGTGTCGGGACTGTTCACGATTTGGTGTATCCGCTGTGTGTTCACTATTATCGGTGCCGCACGGGTTCATTCGTATCGTCCCGCTTTCTGCTTACTGTGTGTGTGTTAATCAATTATCGTCATCAGCCGTGGTCTATACACAACTGGATGAACGCATCCACGTACTTTCACCAACCCTCACAGCCCTGAGCTGATCTCATTGCTCGATCGCAGAAGTGGTTGTTGTCTGTGAAAATGTTCTCAGGTGGCTTCAAGTCCTGTCTCTCATCTCTTCCATTGGCCACCATCCCTTAAAAGTCAATAACGTCTTCTTATATTCTTGGTTCTTTCGGTAAAGTCACGTAGAAGGGAAATAATGAAGATAAAACAATAAAATTATCACGACGTTTCGGCCACGACACAAGCAGCCGTCCTCGGGTGAAGAACAGAGCTGTCGGAAAGACAGCGTCCTAACAGCTCTGTTCTTCACCTGAGGACGGCTGCTTACGTTGTGCCCGAAACGTCGTGTGAATTTTATTTTATTATGGTTTATTATTTTATTATTTCCCTTCTACATGAGTTTATCGAAAGAACCAAGAATATGAATCCCTGCAGTCAAGAAAGCTTTAAATCGAAATTTAACTTCTTCTTACACGCGTTTGTCCCACTGATGTGGGGTCCGCTATCCTTGACAACCTTCGCCACCCTGTCCTGTCCTGCGTCATCTCTATGTCCTCTCCTCGGACCACCATGTCCGATCGGTACCACATCGCCCACCTCTGCTTTTGCCTTCCTCTTGATCTCTTTCCTTCCACTTGCATCGCTTGCACCTTCTTACCTGCATAATTTTCCTCTACATGACCGAACTACACCAGCCTTTTTTCTCTCATCTTCTCTGTGATTTTACCACGTTGAGTCTTCACTCTCATTTATTAATTTCTCACCCTCTCCTTTCCATTGTTAAACCCAACATCCACCACAACATCCTCATCTCTGCGACTGCCATAGCTTGGTCCTCTTTCTTGTGCCCCAGCACTCGGCCTCATGCAACAGCACCGGCCTCACTACCGTCTTGGACTATGCACTACACTATACACTGCACTATCCACTATACACTACACTATACACTACCCTATACACTACACACTTTTCCCTTCAACCAAACTGGGACCCTCATTATCGCACACCACACCAGTCATCTCTCTCCATTTCAGCCATCCAGTCCTTGTTCTTGTTCTCATCTCTCCTTCTGATGACCCATCAGCCACACATCGTTGCACTCAGGTACTTAAACTCGTTCGTCTTCATTTATTGGTCACTTCCAATTTGCAATCCTCCTGCATTTCTTCCACTGAAATTTGCCACCATATACTCAGTCTTTGTCCGACTGACCCTCAACCCATTCCCTTCAATCGTTTGCACCCAGATCTTCAAATAATCTTTCACTACCGCTCTGATTTCACCGCATAGCACAATGTCGTCTGCAAACAGCATACACCAGGGGGGCTCCCTCTGTCTCTCGTGAGTGTGTCCAGCGCCAGGATGAACAGGAAGGGGCTCAGGACGGAATCTTGCTTCACTCCCGCTTTGACTTGAAAGCTCTCCGACACTCCACAGTTGCTCCCCAAGTGCATTTCCCCTCCTTCATACAAATCCTGGATCAGCTGGATATATATCTCAGGAGTACCTCTTCTTGTCATACACCACCAGATGAGCTCTCTAGGCACCCTGTCGTACGCTTTCTCGAGATGAATAAACACCATGTGCAGGTCCCGTTTCTTCTCTCTGAACTTCTCCATGAATACTCTCAATGCAAAGATTGCATCAATTGTTGACCTTCCCGGTCTGAATCCAAACTGACTCTCGCCAATATCCACCGGCTTCCTCAGTCTCCTTTCCTATGATCCTTTCCCAGAGTTTCGTGGTGTCACTCATCAATGCAATTCATCTATAGTTCCCACACTCTTGTACATCACCTTTCCCTTTAAAGATGGGAACCAATGTACTCTCTCTCCAAGTATCCAGCATTTTTTTCTCCATCCAGATTTTCCCCAATATTTCAACACCCGTTTCTCCCATTAATTTAAACATCAATTGGAATCTCATCTGGCCCCCACTGCCTTTTTGATGTTTCATGCTCCCCAGAGCCTCCACTACCTCTTCTCTGGTTATAGTATCTCCAATTACTTCTATTCGTTGATGTTCTTCAACCATAACGCGTCTTGGGTTTTCCACATTCAGCAACTTCTTAAAGTACTCTTACCATCTCTCTCTAACCTTTATCTCATCCAAGATTTTTCATCATTCACTGTTCTTAACGAGATATTCTTTGTCAGTGTCTATATTTGAATTATGGAGTAGGCCAAATGACCAAAATTCATGATGATTTTAACTAACTACTAAATAATGGTAAATACAATTACATCATTGTAATGGTAGACTTCAATTTAAAGTAAGTAAACTGTTCAGAGATTAAAATATGATCACTAACTTAGGCTGTGACCAACTTTAGCTGAGGACAATGTTAAACTATTATCGTGGATATGTGATACTGTGCCTGTCTTTGTATCATCTCATTGATTCTTGAGATGTTTGATGTCTGTTTGCACTGTTGATTTGTTTGCATGGTTGATTGTCGTGTTTTGTTATTGGCAGGCCGGTTTGTTATATGGTCGTCTGATGTAGTGATCTGTTTGGTTCATAAATACTATGGTGTTTGAATAAAGAAAGAAACAATAATTCTATAGCTTAAGTTGATGTGATGTCAATGAGAATTGCATATGGAATGAGCCATTACCCCGGTACTCAGGTGCATATATTGTATCCAGATGTTGCCACCACGTGTCACTCGTACCGCGTGGTCAAAGGTCGTAGTGCCCTGACACAACTGCTCTTTAGAAACACAGAAAGCGTATTGTCACAACTAGTGAAATGTATCAAAGAATGTAGCTGCAATATGTAAAAAACTAAGCATCGTTGGAAATTTCTCAAATGGTCAATTGCATTTGGGGCGCGAGTGTATATCTAATGTTGACAGAAGTGGTAGGCCAGTTGATGCTTTAACTCCAGCCAATGTTGCTTTTCTTGACTGGTTTATTTTGGATCAAGTCTGAAATTCGATAAAAAAGTTGATGAGATAGAGAGTAGCGTTTCTGCACAATAATGCACGTTGGAAATTTCTCAAATGGTCAATTGCATTTGGGGCGCGAGTGTATATCTAATGTTGACAGAAGTGGTAGGCCAGTTGATGCTTTAACTCCAGCCAATGTTGCTTTTCTTGACTGGTTTATTTTGGATCAAGTCTGAAATTCGATAAAAAAGTTGATGAGATAGAGAGTAGCGTTTCTGCACAATAATGCACGTCCGCACACTGTGCATGCCACAGTGGATTTGTTGAGAGTGTAGATGAGATGGTCTGGTACATCCGGCACACAGGGCAGACTTCAGATCTGTTTGGAATTCGGATCTCCGCGAGAAGCTGCACGTGGAAGGCAGTTTGTTTGCTATGGATGTTGTAAATCGACACCCTCATAAATTAGATGTTACCTCTAAACGGATATTCCAGCTAAATATTTTAAATAAAAATAATAAAAAAATAGTGACGAAGCGGTGATGCCATCATGACTTAAAGACCGGTCCGAAGATGTCTATGCGTCTGGCATTAAGAAGTATGTGGGCTGTAGAGGACATGTGTTTTAGTAGAGGGTGACTATGGTCCTTTTTTAATCCACTGCTGGATGAAGGCCTCAGCATTCAATGACGATCCTTGGGGTTGTTTGGTCATTCTGCAGTGCAGGTTTAGTGAAGGGGGTTCAGAACTGGTGGCCAGGAATCAAACTCGTTCAGCCTAGTACGCTCATCACTGTCTCACCACTCGACCCTAGAGGGAGACTATGTAGATGTATGTTCTGTTTGTCATTAATTCTAACAACTGTTTTCTGCAAAAACATATTTGTCTTTGTTGAAACACCCACATATCTATCTGGATGTTGACATGGCTAGCTGGATAGTTGTTCCTATTGTTAGCCGGTTGAATATGCATGGATGTTAACATGCTCAGAATGGTACTCCTTCGCCTAGATTCCGGAGACGGCCATACTCATGTGTTTCCATTATGCTGATTCTCCCCTATTAGAGAACACATACTGGGGGCGACTGGGATATTGGTAAATATGGCTGATTTAACTATTCCCTCTCTCCCTCACCCTGCAGGGGATGTGCTGCCCCCTCACCTGCAGGCCCCTCGCAGGCCTGGCCTCGGCACGGTGGGAAAGCACATCAAGCTTCTGGCAAACTACTTTGAGGTGGACATCCCAAAAATCGAGGTGCATCACTACGACCTGGACATCAAGCCCGAGAAATGTCCTCGAAGAGTCAACAGGTGCCTAAATGCCTTTGCATACTGCACGCTGCTAAGCTCGTCGCCAGATGGTGTGTTGGTACCCGCCTGTGATTCAGCGCTTTGGTTATTGATGGATTGGATAAAGATTTGTGAGACTCCTAAACAGCTCGGCTGTAAGGTAACGAGAAAATGGTGGTACAACAAGTGAGTTGATGAACCTGTTTGTGCAGACATCTGCAAATGATATTTCTTCATATGTATGTGGGTTTTTGTTTAATGCATGGCCATACCTGGAAGGCTGAGGCCAGGGATTTAGCGGCAGCTGTTGATCTACCTTTGGCATCCTTTGCAGTGATGTAATTCATTACGATGACTTCCTATGCACAGCCTCGTTTTAACTGTAGTCTATTTTGGAGGTGTTCTGGCTGGATTGGCCTGTTTTATCCACTTGGTCTGGTTGGTCCAGACTACCGGGTAATGTGAACATCGCTATTGAGGCCTATCAATTGAGGTATGTTTAACCCGTTGCCCCAGGAGAAGAGATTGACCTCTGAATTGAGTTAAAGACAGTTCTGCTCTCAAATAACCATTACCCTGAAGAGATTTGTGGTCTCAATAGGCTTTCACCAAGTTAAAAATTAAGAGAATTTATTTTATAGTAAATAAAATAAGAATATCTCTTCAAACAGCATGGCTTTGCTCTCTCACATGTGCTCATCATTACTGCTGGCACTGATGTCATTGTGCAAACGTATTGCTCTTCGCCTTGTAGTAATTTAAATGTCATTTTTCCTGTATATTTGTTTTCTCGTCTCTCGTGGGAACCAGGGAGGTCGTGGACTACCTGGTCAACCGCTCCAATGTGCAGTTTTTCCGGGATCGGAAGCCGGTGTTCGATGGCCGGAAAAACCTGTACACGGCGAGTGCACTGCCCGTCGGAAGAGACAAGGTCCTTGCTGCAAAAGCACAAATTAACAAAACATCTCAACATATTTGTCAACAACACTGCCTTTAAAAACGAAAAAAACCTTATAATAGGCAACATTGAGCAATTGGCAATTAGCTCGGTTGGCGACGTATGGTTCGAAAGAAGTTCAACATACAGTCATAACTCGGTATACGACCGCTTTGGAATACGTCGTGTTTTGACGAGAAAAAAATGTCTTGGGATACGACGTCTTGCTTGGGATACAACGTCTTGCTAGAACTTGTATGGGTCGGGATGAGTCACCGTGTCCCCGCGTAGACCTCGTTCACGACTGAGACAAAGCGCCGCTCCTCAGTCTGCCTGCAGATCTCGTTCAGTGCACAACCCTTGCTATAACTCTGCGAATTTTCACGTGCTTTTTGTAATTTTAACGCTTCTCAGCAAGGTAAAGTCACGTTAAATTTCATTTTTACTTAAATTTACTTGTGCATTTATTTTAATGTATGTATGCATTTTAGTAATAATAAGTAGTGTCTACATTATGTTATACAACCACATTAATGTATAATATGCCATATAAAATATAATTTCTTATACTCTGGAACGGATTATTTCCTTTCCATTTATTGCTTATGGGAAAAATTTGTCTGGTAGACGTCATTTTCGGTGTAAGTCCTCCTTCATAAGTCCTCCTACCTTCTGGAACGAATTAACGACGTATACCGAGGTACCACTGTACATATATACATACAGACTGAAGAGGTAGAGCACTAATCTCTCTGGTCTCTTTATTCGAAGAGGACGTCATCTCTCTGGCCTATTAGTGCTGTGTAGATGGGCTATTGTCCAAAATGACACCTGTTATATACTTCTTAAGGCAGTATTATTGACGAAGTTGTTGATTTGTTTTAGAGATTCATGCGTGTTGTGTGTGCTCTGTTTGTGGCAAAGGTTTCTCTACACTCATTACGTGCGTGCTATTACAGCAAATCCCCTCCCCAGCTAGTCAGACCCTGGCTATGCAGAATTCACACTATGCGGAATTCAAGCCAGAGCAGGTAGAATAATCAAAAAGTGTAAATACGTATTGTAAACATAATATAATAAATATAACAAAGGAATGTACATAAATTGTATTTAATTGTATGTTTTGTCATTTAAAATATATAATACAGTATACTAGAACATGTTAAATTGTTTATAATGAAGTGTTATTATTGTGTTTAGTTTGTTGTCCTACCCTCGTGCCTCCAATTACCACGGGTGGCTACTTACAGTATGAAATAAGTTCAACATGTATATACAAATGTACTCGCGTTCATATATGAGTGGTGGAGTGGGTTGATAGGAGCCGGGCAATGGGGGATAGGCGTGGGGTGGTGGGGGATTTGGCATACCCCCGGGACCAACGGACATATATACTGTACCGCACAGCACACAGCACATAATGTATGGATAATTTTTTGATCTGTGCAATAACACGCTACACATACTATATACCATGCATGTTCCGTTGTTTTTTTCTACAAAGATTTTTGTTGAAATGGCTAGCCGGACCTTTCAGCTAGCTGGACTAATTCTGGCCATCAACCTGGTTCTGTTTATTTCCCAATTTCCTTACATGACGCATGGAGATCTACGAATGAAATGCGCCTTACAAATGTAAATAATAATTAGTCCGGCTAGCTGGAGTTTTACCATAGCCAAGATTCTGGAAAAAGACTAATACATTTAATTTTCCGTCGTTGTTGCCGCCGCCATCGCTCCGCTGGTGCAGGTTGAGCTCGAGGTGACGCTGCCGGGCGAGGGTAAGGACCGTGTGTTCAAGGTGGCGCTCAAGTGGGTGGGCTACGTGAGCTGGCACGCGCTGCACGACGCGCTCGCGGGCCGCATCATGCAGGTTCCCCAGGACCCTGTGCAGGCGGTGGACGTAGTGCTACGACACCTGCCCTCCATGCGGTGAGTGGAAATTCTACATTGCTGTGGAGGAGGCGGTCACTCTCTCTGTCCGGAATTGGCAGGCTTGTGAGCGCCGTGGTGGTGATATCTTATCTGCCTCGCCTGATATGCAGGAGGTTGTGGGTTCGATCGCGACTCTTGTCGCTTGTATATCTGGAGTTTGAATGTTCTCCCCATGGTCGCATGGATTTTTCTCAGGGTCCTCTGGTTTTTTCCTCCGCATTTAGAATCGACATGCGTTTAGAGTAGGGCATTTGGCTGCTATAAATTTCCACGTGAAAAACCACTTCGTTGAGCTATCATTTGTGGCCAGGTCGCTTCTGAAAAAGAGCTGTATAGCTCAGTAAGCCTTACCTGGTAAAATAAAAAAAAATAGTGTCGCTCGTAGATTTAGTTTAAAGATCCGATGAGATTTTGCCGCTATCATGGTGATTTGTGCTTGGCACAGAGAATCAGTGGGCACTGAGAAGCGGTAGGCACAGTTATTACCAGGCTCCTTCTGCCTTTATATGGCCATTGATTAAAAATAGCAATATGGTTCAGACCACACGAGTTCCTACTTTGAAGCGCCTGTGAAGCCTGCTCTTTTGTTGCCTTTACGTGAGGGCGTTTGTCGATGCAACTACGCCCGCTCGCCACCCCACCCCCCTCACCCACCACCTCCTTCCTCCCTTGCTGATCCTCCACGCCTTACAACACCCAGCAGCAGCAGCAGATTTCAGTGGAAACGCACTTGACCAAGAAGCGTGCGCATTGAGCAATGAGCGTGCTGGGTCTCTCGGGGCCTGGCTTGCTGCTGGGCGCGTGTTGTGAAAGACAACCGCGGGGTTTCTGTGCAAGTGGGAGAATAACTAGTGGAGATGGAAATGTAGCTGCAAACTGTTGTGACGAAGCATTTTCGTTTTTCTGTATGAATGTCTTTGGCATATCATGATTTTTCAAACCTTTTATGAGTGTGTGTTGAGCTTTTTATAACAAAAAAATACATGCGATGCTGTGTAAACCCACAGAAGGCGTGATTTGTGCTTATTTTGTGCACAGCAGCATAAAGAGTTTGACCTATCTCCCCCAGTAGCAATGGGTTTTCTCCAAGCACTCCAGTTCCTTCCACATAACGGAGTAGAAAAAAAAGTGAAATCTCTTTAAAGAATACATACTTTATTTGATCGATTCCTATGAGACAAGGAAACGGTCAAGCATCCCAAGCTGGATTCTTCTGAGAATAAATCTGAAGGAGTCTGTGAGATACCTCCTCGACAATGATCACGTGTTATTCTATTTTTCTCGCGGTTGTATTTAAAGGTTACATGTGAACCAGACATTTCCGTTGAGCCACAAGGCCAAATTTTGCCCCTATTTGAGCATTGCAAGTAGCTATTCCAGTGGAAGCTGGGCTGGCTGCCGTTGTTATGGAATGTTATATAATAATCTATGTGAGTGATGCACGCTGAAGTCCCACAAGCATTAACATTGAGTCTAACCGCATCTTACATTCGTGCGTTGTCACACAATGTGTAATTATATGCAACATTACTATGCTGTCTAAATTAATATTTCAGAACTATTTTAAGAATCTGATTGGAAATATTAACTTTGAGACTTAAATGCGCAATGAATTTCTTGAATAAAGTATCGTGGTACCATCGTTGGCTTGTGCATGCATTTATGACTTTCATCTTTTACATGTTTACACTTGCACTGACTAATCGTGTAATTGACTCATGTAGGGTCAAAAGGTCATCACAGGCAATGCTGTTGATGCCATCACCCCTCAGCATTGTTTCCTCGGTCTGATAAATCCCACCGCTCATTCAAAGTTGACACCTGACCTTCAAAGTCCACTTTTACAATTGCGTCACCGACACCGCCATCTGGCTTTAGGTCTTCCCCATCCTAATGCCTGTCATGGTAACCTGCTGTCTGCCATTCTACACACGAGTCCCACCCATCACAGCCTCCTCATAATTAGGCTTATAATACTTTTTTTTACCACATTCTTGTCTGAACTTCAAAGTTGCTTACCATTTTTTAAATGAAATTATAAACATTTTCTGCTTTGCCATACCAGCCTTCACTCGCTAACAACACTTTTCTGAAGTCTGTTAAAGGCTATACGGGGGATCTTTGTCTTGTAGATACACGCCGGTCGGACGCTCGTTCTTCTCGTCCCCCGAGGGATACAGCCACCCATTGGGTGGTGGCCGCGAGGTCTGGTTCGGTTTCCACCAGTCTGTGAGGCCGTCCATGTGGAAGATGATGCTCAACATTGATGGTACGTGTGTGTGTGTCTGTCAGCATGCGTATGTGTGTGTCAACGTCTGTACTTGTGTCAACGTGCACGTGTGACGGTGTGTAAAATTTATCGCCACTGGGGAAACGAAGACGGTCGGACGTGGTGCTGGCCACCCACCCCCTCGTGTTCCGTGCCGGCCTTCATAGGTGCTTGCTAACAGCACTTGCCCCAACAGTCTGTTAACCGCTATACGGGGGATCTTTGTCTTTGGTTGCATGTCAGCCGGGGCGCACGCTCGCACGTGTGTGTCAGCGTGTGCACTTGAATGTGTCGGTGTGCGTGCGAGTATAATGTTATGTTTTTTTATATGCGGTCATTATTGACCTGGCTGAGACAATAAACTTGCTACACATACAAACATAATTTTGTCATCTGGTAGCTGAACCCAGATTTGAACCTAGAATCTCGGTGATGCATCTTCGGCATCCTAACCCCTGAGTTATGTGACCACAAAGAAGTCATCGCCTCATAATTTTCACTCATCTCATTAATTATGTTAAACTGGAAAAGGAGAAATATAGCTGTGCTGAGACTGAATGCAGTGTTATATCATGTTTGTATGCATGCTTGTGAGTGTGTGTGCAAGTGCTTGTGTGTGTGTGCCTATATAAATGTGTTCATGTGTGTCTGTGTGTGCGCATTTATGCTAACCACTTGGCTGGTGCAATTATTCACTAACCAAGCTATGATTCCACTTAGGATCCATTGCAAGCATCCTTAAGAAATTTCTACGGTATGTTTAGTGCAGCAGCAGCGCTGTGGTGTGTGCGCGTTGAAAGATGATTTCGTGGTTATCACACAGCTTAACAAACCTGGCAACGTGGGCTGGATTCCCAGCCATGCTTGTCAAAAATGGCAAGTGGTACTGAATTAATCTGTCTTGGCCCTTTTGAAGATTTTGACTAGGCTTTCAATGAGCACTTGGTATTTGGTAGAGTATATAAATGAACATCAGCATGGAGACGATGGTGCCTTGACGTGTTGTTGGACACACCCTCTGTTTGCGGATTGTGCTGGACTTATAAGGTGGTCACTAACAACAATTTCCCTACAGTCCATAAGACTCTATGCGGCATAAATGTGTGTATGCTTGTCTTTGTGTAGTGTCGGCCACGGCGTTTTACAAGGCTCAGCCGGTGATAGAGTTCATGTGCGAGGTGCTGGACATCCGTAACATCGACGAACAGCCCAAGCCACTCACCGACTCCCAGCGCGTGAAGTTCACGAAAGAGATCAAAGGTACAAATCCTGATCTGAGGTTAAACGGGAAAATTTTGTTTTGATAATATTGCATTAAAAAAGCCAATGTCCTCGTTGCATTGTTTAGCGTGGCCCGCGATGCTGAATGAATAAAGTTGCAAGTTGATCTTTGACACGGAAGCAACCGTTTGAAAATTGTTTTATTGCACAAGCAACAAGTACTGTAATTGGTTGGACAGGGTCACATGGTTGCCATGGCAATGTTCAATTCAACACAGCTGAATATTTGTTTTTATGTGCACAGTGACTTGGAGATAGTGAATACGAAAAACTGGGTTTATCTGTCAATGTAATGGTAAATATCATCATCTAAGTTATAGCAGTTCTACTGCTGGATTATTTTTTCCGCCTGAGGATGACCGCTTGTGTTGGCGATCGACACGTCGTGATATATTATTTTTTGTTTTCTTTTATTTTTCTACCTACGTGACTTTACCGAAAGAACCAAAGAGTAAGTTGTTATGCTCATGTTATCAATGCAGTGATGGTTAAATATTGTTTGTTGCTGATTTTCTGATCTGTGAAAAAGAGCTTCATAGCTCATCAGATTCCTCCAATTTAAATATAGATTCTGATTTAAAGTGGTAGGTCTCATGTGACCTCAGGCCCGATGAAAACGGCCTGCAGGGGTTGTAGGTTTATAGTATTTGGCTGCTATAAATTTCCACATGATTAGCTGCTTCGTTGAGCTATCATTTGTGGGCAGGTCACTTCTGAAAAAGAGCTACATAGCTCGTTGTGAGCCTTACGTGGTGAAATATATTTTTCAAATCGTTTAGTTTTCCTTTTCGCCTAACCACGCCTGCTTGAGGCTCTACTGTATACAGTGAGGGAAAAAAGTATTTGATCCCCTGCTGATTTTGTACGTTTGCCCACTGACAAATAAATGATCAGTCTCTAGTTTTAATGGTAGGTTTATTTGAACAGTGAGAGACAGAATAACAAAAAAATCCAGAAAAACGCATGTCAAAAATGTTATAAATTGATTTGCATTTTAATGAGGGAAATAAGTATTTGACCCCTCTGCAAAACATGACTTAGTACTTGGTGGCAAAACCCTTGTTGGCAATCACAGAGGTCAGACGTTTCTTGTAGTTGGCCACCAGGTTTGCACACATCTCAGGAGGGATTTTGTCCCACTCCTCTTTGCAGATCTTCTCCAAGTCATTAAGGTTTTGAGGCTGACGTTTGGCAACTCGAACCTTCAGCTCCCTCCACAGATTTTCTATGGGATTAAGGTCTAGAGACTGGCTAGGCCACTCCAGGACCTTAATGTGCTTCTTCTTGAGCCACTCCTTTGTTGCCTTGGCCGTGTGTTTTGGGTCATTGTCATGCTGGAATACCCATCCACGACCCATTTTCAATGACCTGGCTGAGGGAAGGAGGTTCTCACCCAAGATTTGACGGTACATGGCCCCGTCCATCGCCCCTTTGATGCGGTGAAGTTGTCCTGTCCCCTTAGCAGAAAAACACCCCCATAGCATAATTTTTCCACCTCCATGTTTGACGGTGGAGATGGTGTTCTTGGGGTCATAGGCAGCATTCCTCCTCCTCCAAACACGGCGAGTTGAGTTGATGCCAAAGAGCTCCATTTTGGTCTCATCTGACCACAACACTTTCACCCAGTTGTCCTCTGAATCATTCAGATGTTCATTGGCAAACTTCAGACAGACATGTATATGTGCTTTCTTGAGCCGGGGGACCCTGCGGGCGCTGCATAATTTCAGTCCTTCACGGCGTAGTGTGTTACCAATTGTTTTCTTGGTGACTATGGTCCCAGCTGCCTTGAGAGCATTGACAAGATCCTCCCGTGTAGTTCTGGGCTGATTCCTCACCGTTCTCATGATCATTGCAACTCCACGAGGTGAGATCTTGCATGGAGCCCCAGGCCGAGGGAGATTGACAGTTCTTTTGTGTTTCTTCCATTTGCGAATAATCACACCAACTGTTGTCACCTTCTCACCAAGCTGCTGGGCAATGGTCTTGTAGCCCATTCCAGCCTTGTGTAGGATTTTTGTTGTTGTTATTCTGTCTCTCACTGTTCAAATAAACCTACCATTAAAATTATAGACTGATCATTTCTTTGTCAGTGGACAAACGTACAAAATCAGCAGGGGATCAAATACTTTTTTCTCTCACTGCACATGATGAAAGGCACACAGAGAACACCATTGAATTGAATGAGTTGGCAGTGCCCAACTCTGTTGTGAAACAGAAACAATGATATTGCTTTGTTTAACACGGGATGTTGCACCACATTTGAAGGCAGAAACAATGTTACGTGCACAAAGATTGCAAAACGAAGGCAGAGTTTGCAGGGAAGTCTTATACACGCGGCAGAAACATTCCAAACCACTTTACGCAGCTACTGTTTTTCTTTCATGTGTTTTGCATTCTGGAAATGTTTTTGGGGGGCTCTCGTATCGAGCCAAGAGTCAAAAGTATCGTCCTGATTAAATGAGCATCTGAGTGGTGCTCATCTCTGTTGGGGGTCTGAGCCTAGGGGTGGATATTGACCGTTTGATGGCAGGGACCAGACTATCCATAACACAATCACACAGAAGGAATTGCGATGTAAACTGAGTTTGCAAAATAGTAGCTAGAGACATGCATCCCTATACAATAAAACCTTGGATTGCGAGCATAATTCGTTCCGGAAACGTGTTTGTAATCCAAAGCACTCGTATATCAAAGCACTCGTATATCAGTTGTGATCACGTGACGCTCGGCAGACAAAGCGTACACGTAGTACTCGTATTGCAAGACCTCGCTCGTTTATCAAATTAATATTTATTTAAAAAATTTGCTCGTCTTGCAAAACACTCGTAGACCAAGCTACTCGCAATCCAAGGTTTTACTGTAACATTTTATTCATAGTCATGTGGGAGTCCATTGAGATGGTGGTTTGTCACAAGGGAGGCTTGAGGTGCAACATTTCACAGTGCATAACAATGATAAATACAACCATAAACATTTAAAATGTCAAAAAAGAATCCTTAATCATTCTGTCTAATTAATATAGAATATACAAGAACACATACAGTACAAAACAATATGGCAAAGGCAGTTCATTAACTGAACCTGAAATCATATTACAAGCTCGCACTCACGCATCCTAATGTATGTGCATTATTCATGCTCGTATGCAACCTTGCATAACATTTGTTAAAGTAATTATGTTGTGAAAGTATTCGATTACCAATCCTGCCCGAGAACCTATCACATTTGAGGGTTTAATGTTGAGGAAGCTGCCTGCCAGTTTCATGGCATTTGGTTTGTGCGGTTTGTAATTTTCTTTAAAAACATGTTTCCTCGGATTGGTGGATGTAATATTTCCAAGGTATTTTAACAAGCAACATGTCGGCTCCCTTACTCGCTCGCCAGAAATAAATTCTAAAGATCTAGTCTCCTAACACCAGCTCCCCACCGCCCGCCGGGATAACTGGCCACCCACAGCAATTATGGGCCGAGCGTTCTACAACCACAGAGGCGCCGCGTGAGTGTAATGTCACTGTGAGGTGTGCGTCGTAGCCCAATATTCGCGTGGGTTCGTTACGCGTGTTGTTTGTGCCAGGCCTCAAGGTCGAGATCACGCACTGCGGGCAAATGAAACGCAAGTACAAGGTGTGCAACGTGACGCGGAGACCGGCCAGCCACCAGACGTAAGGGTGCACGCACGCACGCATGCACGCACGCACGGCAACAACAGCAGTCGGCCGTTCACCACTGAGTGATGGAGATGTCACAATTGCTAGGTCCCGTACTTCTTCGAAATAATGTCCAGTGGTGAATACTGCCTGGCAGGAGGTCACGGGATAGACCCATGAATTGCGGAGTCACAGACCAGAGTGACTGACAATGGTGGTGATGCTGGTAGTGATCATTGTGGTAGTCATGATGGTGGTCATGGTGGTAGGGATGATGTTTATCGTGATGATGATGGTGGTTATGGCAGTAGTGATGATGGTGATATTGGTAATTGTGGTCGTGATGATGGTGGTGGTCATGCTAGTGTTGTTGGTGGTAGTAAAAATGGTGTTTATGTTGAGTACAATGGTGGCGGAGGTGCTGGATGCAGTGATGATGACTAATTATGATGATGCATGCAATCATCGTGAAAGTGACAATGATTAATGACAATGATGGTGATGATTGTGGCAGGAATATTGAAACTGGTGATAATTACAATGATGACCACAATTGTTTTCTCCCTGCACACATATCGCCTTAATAGACTGTTTGACACCTATGAAGGCCGGCACGACACACAAGGGGGTGGGTGGCCAGAACGATGCCCAGTCACCTTTGTCTCTCTAGTGACGATATTTGCACATCGCACCAGATGCTTATTTGAGGTTGAGTCGAGCTAGGGAGGCCCAGAACCGGTTCAGATAATCGTCGCGAGTGGTGCACCTTGAGTTGAAATTGGAATCGGGTCACCGGGTTTGTAGCACAGCGCGCATAACCACTGTGCTACTGTTCCCCATATTCATACGAACACAAACGCACACACATGCGGACCACCAGGTTCCCTCTGCAGCTGGACACGGGCCAAACGGTGGAGTGCACGGTGGCACACTACTTCCGCGACCGGCACAAGCTACAGCTCAAGTACGCACACTTGCCCTGCCTGCAGGTCGGCCAGGAGCAGAAACACACCTACCTGCCTCTCGAGGTGAGTGCCAGCACCCGCATGTATGTAAGTTGAATTTCTTTCGCATCGTACGCAGCTGCAAATCCGTCATTTGGGCCACGCAATTTCTTTTGCCCCTCTCTTTAAACCATGTCAACAGAAGGGCGTACACTCGCAGGCTTGCACCTATTCACCCCCAACAACTTGACGATTTGGTCTTGCTTTTGCCATCTTGTTGTTTAATCGCACATTTTCCACTTGCCTCGCAAGAAAAATCGCACGTCAGCTGCGTGCAATTTGCGTACTTGATGTGTTATCAATGCTTTCACGTGCAAATTTATGCACGTACATTGAGTCCGATAATGTTTTATATAATTCATATGCACTGTTACGTGCGTACATTTTGGCATTGCTTCTGAGCACACAACTTCTCTGCCTTTGTTCCTTGGGGGTTCGTTTCTCCTCTGCTGCCCACGCTGTCTGCAACTCTTCCTCTGTGTGTACACTCCTCGCTCCTCCTCTTCGCTGTTTGAAACCAAGCTTGAGATTTTCCTTTTTTCCCCCTCTGCCTACGCCTTCTCTCCATCCACTGTGCTCATGCTTGCCCATATCCAAACGTTGATATTATTTCCCACTGCTTGGCATAATCATGCCACCTCTAGCATTTTTTTTTTACAATAATTGCCCTTCTCAAGTCCCTTCCCTGTTTAAAGTGCTCATTATGTTCACGTCCCCATCCTTGTACAGTGGTGTTGTATTTAGACGGTTTATACAGTCATTATTGTTTGATGTCATTACTTATAATTGTATTGTGCTCAAGATACATGTTTCAAGTTGCGTGCGAAAGAATGATGTACTGTTTGAGTGAAACTAAACGGATACCACATGTTAGGCTAATGATTCAAACGAGATTTGAAAAGAATGACAGACAATACAGGACCTACTTAATGATGGCAGCTATACCAAAATCAATAGAGATCCTACCAACCGCCTGGTTACGAAAACCAACAACATCATAACTGATTCGACATCTTTAATCGAACCATTTAAGCGGCTTGCCTTAAAACCCTCTGCTGCTAGACCACCCAGATTTTATGACTTACCACAAATCCATAAAGAAGGCACACCACTCCGCCGTATCGTCTCCACCATTGGCTCACTCACCTACAAACTGGCCCGATTTCTGTCTGAGACCTTACAACCATTCACTGGTAAGACCACCTCAGCTGTACTTAACTCGGCTCACTTGATATCTTCCATTAACGACATCTCACTATCTCCAGGTGATTTGCTTGTCAGTTTCGATGTGGTATCTTTGTTTACCAAAGTTCCTGTGCCTGACACCATTGCAATCATTGAAGATTTGGTCCAACAAGGATTGAATGCTGATGTACCATCCCTGGTTAGACACTGCCTCACCGATACTTACTTCACCTGGAATGGAACATTCTACAAACAAGTTGAATGCACCCCTATGGGTTCTCCCTTATCTCAAGTTGTAGTCAATGTTGTCCTGGAGAAATTTGAGACAGATGCTATCCAGGCATCCACCCTACGTCCTTTCTTGTGGAAGAGATACGTTGATGATACGTTCGTCATCTGGCCACATGGCCTACCAGCTCTGGACCAATTCTTCAACCACATCAATTCCATACACCCAGCCATCAAATTCACTATGAAGGTGGAAAAGGATCGCAAGTTACCATTCTTGGATGTTTTAATCGAAAAAAGACCTGATGGCTCAATGGGACACTGTCTACAGGAAAGCCACCCATACGGATGCTTACCTTAACCCTGATTCCCACCACCATCCATCCCAGAAGAATTCCCTCATCAAAACTCTATACCACAGAGCTCGTTGTATTTCCGACCATCACCACCTCGCCAGTAAACTGGAGCACATCAAGCCCTCAAGAGGAATGGATATTCGGACTACACAATCTGTAAAGCTATCAACCCAACCGTGAGGAGAGAACCATCTTGAGGACCCAATCAAAACCATCACCTTGCCATACATAGCAGGGGTCACCAAAAATATTTCCAAAATCATGAGCAAATACAAGATCCAGGTACGATTCAACACAGTACATACAATTTGTGATTTTATCCTTTCTGTGAAGGATGCGATCCCCGACATGCAATACCCCTGTGTCTACAAAATAAGCTGTGGCAGCAGTTACATTGGGGAAACTAAGCGACATGTCTCGGACTGGGTCCGTGAACATAAGGCAGATCTGAAACACGGTAGGACCAATACCTCAGCCGTTGCTGATCATTATTTTAACGCTGTGGGCACACACGAAATAGATTTTGCCAAGACGAAGGTACTCTGCAAACCCACTGGCTATCAAAGATTCGTTCATTAAGCCATCCATATATATATAAACACAGACACAATTTCAACCGAGAAGATGGGTACAAACTGAGCAATCATTGGAAGGACGTTATTAATCAGTTTAGGTCATAACTGGCTGTGATGTTCCTATCCTACCTAGAAGTTATTTTCGACTGTCTGAGTTACATTCACTAACACAGCCACCGTCAGCTGTGTTAGTACCTCCATGTGGCCACTGCGCTCTCTTACATTGACACACTAATCTCTCACAATACAATGGCCACAGCTCCGTAGTACCTCCCCCACATTGGCATTAGCTGCCCCGCCCATCTCTAAACCATTTGTAAACAGCTCTTTGATTGGTGTAGACCTACTGCAGGTTACGGAGACCCCGCCTACATTAACATTAGCTGCCCCGCCCATCTCTAGACTTTTATAAACAGCCTGCCTCGGCATAAACTCCCCCTTTTTTCACCTGAAGATGATTGCTTGTGTTGCGATCGAAACGTCATGATATTGTTATTATTAAGATTATTTTTTCTATCTACGTGGCTTTACCGAAAGACTCAAAGAATATTATACTAAAATAGATTAAAATAAATCATTCTGCAATCGAAAGTCGACCGTTATGACAATTTGTGGACTAACGTGTAGTGGAGGGTTCTTTTTATTACGCCTATCGGAGAAATATTACTGTTATTGTGGTTGTTTTTTTCTCCGCGTGACCCACATGCAGGTGTGTAACATCCTGGCGGGACAGCGCTGCATTAAGAAGCTCACCGACAACCAGACGTCCACCATGATCAAAGCCACGGCTCGCTCAGCCCCCGATCGGCAGGACGAGATTAGCAAGCTGGTGCGCTCCGGTTGAACTTTTAGCACGCGGCGATTTAACCGGGTTCTCAATGACAGCGAGTTGATGGTCTCAGCTTGATCCCCAATTATTGCGTAGAAACTTATCGTTTAATTTGTTTTGTTTCTGAATTTGGCTTATTTCTCCGCTGAGTATTAAACAGCTTCAGTTTATTTGACATGCGATGAACACAACATTTCCTGTAAAATATAATTTTGACTATGAATCTACGCTCCTGTGTCACTCCCCCCCCCCCCCCCCCAACTTGAGCTTCATGAATGCTTATTTGTATGAGTCCCTGCAGGTAGCTGTCTGGAAGGTAGTGGGCCCTTGGGTCAGATTGTATAACTGTCCACCCTGTTTACCTCCCCAATGTGGGTTCCATGCCTACCAAACTATTTTATAGCAATGCGTTATTCAACTCCGTCACCCATGCAGCAGGCACTTTTTTGGCGTCTTGATGTTGGGTGAAGTTTGAGGGTGACCCAGTTTGCATTTTGATTTTTTTAAAAATGTGTGGGTTAAATGGGGAATTACCCTGGTTTATATGTGCAATACATTTATTAAAAATATTTCTTTACACTATATTACAGACATTTCGATTGCGGCCTGCAAACAAAAATCACATTCTGCCACGTGACATGTTAGGACCGGCCAAAGGAGGGCATCAATTGGTCCCCAGAATAGATGGGACCAGCTGTTGAGGGGTTAAGCCTGTTACAATTGTGGGGATGTTTTCTGACTGATAAAAGTAACAATAAGTGCGTTTTCTGTGCTGCGGTTGACTCATCCTACTTGTCATATGAAAGGCAGGAGCATCCAAACCCTTTTTGTCGTGAGCGTATTTAATTTAACACATTTAAAGCTCTTTCCCCATTGTCCGCGCGTGCGTCAGATGAAGAATGCTAGCTTCAACGTGGACCCGTACGTGCAAGAGTTTGGCCTGCGGGTGCGTGACGACATGACGGAGGTGACAGGCAGGGTGCTGCCTGCTCCGATGCTGCAGTACGGAGGCCGGGTAAAGACATTGTGCCACACAGTCACATACACATACTCATCCATATGGTACTATTAGTCATGTGGCGATGCATCATCGCACTGTTCATGTAATTAAAAATTTATTTTAAATATTCGGTTTTGTATGAAGTTGGTTTTCGAGAACCTGTAACGACTAGAGAAGTGGTTCTCCATTTGTTTGGAATTGTGCCCCCCCCCCCCCAATAAATTCCACTGGTCTCTTTGCCCCCGAACCCCCACCAGCTTCTGTAATACAACCAAGATTACTAATGCCACAATACAGAGAGATCACATGTTCATGCCTCTGGCCTATGCAGTGTTCGACATTTGTTTCATGCTGTGTTTTGGCGAGTTTTGTCACCACGTGATGCCGACGTTCACCGCACACACACTTACACACTTGAAATTTCGCCTGCACGGTATCCATGCTGCAGCTTGCACCCATCCCTGAAAGGAAAGGGGGCGCACCCCACGGGTTGAGAACTGCTACACTAAAGACTCCACATTCACAATTGCCTAGTGCCGCACCTCAGTGGGTTGCATGTCTAACTGCTTCTTTGCTTGAATTAGCACCTCCGCTTAGCATGGTTGGCTATGTACGCACTGGCGGAGCCAGTGGTGGGGGGGGGGGGGGTGGGGTGGCACGTGCCCCCCCAATGATCTGATCGAAATCCCTAATTTCTGTTGTTGCTGTGTGACACAGAGCCGGGCTGTGGCAACGCCCAGCCAGGGAGTGTGGGACATGCGGGGAAAGCAGTTCTACTGCGGCACGGAGATCCGTGTTTGGGCCATCGCCTGCTTCGCCCCACAGCGCCAGTGCCAGGAGGACGTGCTCAAGTAAGGAGACTGATAGATACCCACCCCACGCTCATGCACAGACAAGGCTCCCCCGTTGAGGAGCGGCCAGTGCTGTTCGCAAGCACCCGTTAATGCTGGCAACGCGTACGATGTTTTGCGCGACTGCACTAGGTGCTCGTTTAAGGCTGAGTGGACCTAGCAGAGGCACTCGACAGGTTCAGATACCACTTGCCACGGATCTTATGACATGGCGCTGATCGCACAATATTTCAAGTGTGCAGTTGGTGCCAAGTAACGAGAAGAACAAACTACTATTTAGAACCCTTGCAGTGAGCATAGTAGCATCTTACTTTTTGGTTCTTTCGGTCAAGTCACATATAAAGAAAATTGTAAAAAAATATTTCTACGTGACTTTACCGAAAGAACCAAAGAGTAATTCCTGCAGTCATGAAAGCTTTGAATATAGTAGAATCTTGTGTCTGGGAATGCTCCAATGATGCATGCGAGTTCTTTTTACTCATGAAGTCACTTCAGTAGACTCTTTTTTTATGCTATTTACACTTTTTAAATACCCTGCAAGGAGTGCTTATCACATGTCGCTCGAGAAGAAATGTTAAAGTCTCAAATCTAGAATATGCTAAAATAACTGGTATAACCCAATTTATTTTGGTGGGTTTTTTTTAATGCAGCCAATTGTAACCAGGCCCGAGACCATCAATTCACTCGACTGGAAAACTCAGATTGGAACGGAGGATCTCAGCGGTGCCGCGCCTTCGATTTCCTCGCACCTCCCGATTCGCACGGTTTGCTACGTACCGTGCGAAAGAAGTTCAACGTACATGCATACGTATACACGTGCCAACTCGGCTTTTTGGCACGTTGTCACATCCCCCTTAGCCACCCCGGGCCGACCTCTACTCAATCTTGAGTTGGTCATTTGTGCTTTTGCGTTTTGCAGGGGCTTCACGGATCAGCTGCGGCGAATCTCTAAAGACGCGGGAATGCCCATCCAGGGCCAGCCGTGCTTCTGCAAGTACGCACAGGGCACGGACAGCGTAGAGCCCATGTTCCGCCACCTCAAGAACACCTACATGGGCCTGCAGCTCATCGTGGTGGTGCTGCCTGGCAAGACGCCTGTTTACGGTGCGGGGAGAAATGGCGTGCATTTATGCGTGGCTTCTATAACGCTTTTCAACATTTGATTGTCCTCCGATATAATTAAATGGCGATAATAATGTAACTGCTCGTCTTAGCCGGCAGGGCCAGGATACCACGCCGTATTTTTGTTCAGCGCTGGTTTGCATCTCCAAGTCTGAGGCAACCCTTTGAACAATGTCTGGTTTCTGTCACGTAAGTCCCTAATACAACTTTATCCTGAAGTTGTATTCATCTTGGATCATCTTTTCGAGAGTTATTGTGGCTCCCCACCCACAGTTACAGACAGGCGGATAGTGCAATTCCATAACGCTTTCCGTCTCCGTTGGAAAGCTTGAACGAAATCGGAGGCATCTTCACGTACAAAGCTCTCATTGTTCGTATTCGTAAATGTAGCTCCCTTCCTTGCCTCCGTCCTCCTGTTTCCCCTGGCCGGTGTGCGACACGCGACACCCGGTGGTGCGCTCAGCGGAGGTGAAGCGCGTGGGAGACACGCTGCTGGGCATGGCGACGCAGTGCGTGCAGGTGAAGAACGTGCTCAAGACGTCGCCGCAGACGCTCTCCAACCTCTGCCTCAAGATCAACGTGAAGCTCGGCGGGGTCAACAACATCCTCGTGCCGCAACAGAGGTGCCCGTTTGCGCCGCGGCGGGGGCGGGAGGAGGGAACGGGCCCCCGGATTTGCGGCCGAGGCCGTCGGTTTGGGGCGAGTTGACGACGCGTTGAGCCGTCGATCGGCGCCGATTCCGACGCTCGCGATACGCATTGTCCGAGTCGTGCGTGTGAGAACGGATAGTTTTTCTTTTCGTATTTGTTGTATGCGGTTGGTTCGAGTGAACCCCGCAAACCCGCTGCAGGTGATATATTTTCCAAAGTGTTCAAAGGTAATGCCTTCTTGAATTTGATCGCGACCCACAAATGTGAGCCCACCACTCTCCCACTGGTACTCATGTTATTCACCTTGGGAGGATGATTTGCTGAGTCAACCCTGGACTAGATTTAGAACCCTCAGCCACAGTGCAATAATACTACACCCATAATCCTGAAATTCAATTAAAAAATCTGTTTAATGAGATGCTGAGAAAGGTGGCTGAGTGGCTCAGGGGTCAATCTGTGATTCAGTCACCCGCGATTAAACTGACTTGTTGGTTGATAGTTTCAGCTGCAACTACACAATATTCAACATCTTCTTGGTTCTTTCGGTAAAGTCACTGAGAATGGAAATAAAATAATAAACATAATAAAATACAATTCTCACGACGTTTCGGTCACAACACAAGTAGCCGAAACGTCGTGAGAATTTTATTTTATGTTTTATTATTTTATTTCCATTCTACGTGACTTTACCGAAAGAACCTAGAAGATGAATCCCTGCAGTTAGGAAGGCTTTAAATCGAAATTTCATATTCAACATATAAGCGTTTTAAATTAATGTATTTAAATTCTCGTTTTAACAATAATAAACGCACGTTTGTTATGCGATGACCATTTCTCTCATAGGGTATTTGGCAAAGTGGATTGTTTTCCATTTTTTCTTTTAAAAAAAGGTCACTGGGAGAGGGATCTTAAAGGACCTTGCTGGTTGCACTAGTCATTCTGAAACATGTGGCGATGCAATGCCCCGAGAGAATTTCGCCCAGACACTTATTTGTATTACGATTTGACGCAGATAACTTGATGTCGAGTTCCGTTGTGACGAGACGTGCAACTCGGTGTGCTGCTCTCACCGCTCGCGTGGTGTGCTCCCTCGTGTACTGGCAGGCCGGCCGTGTTCCACCAGCCCGTGATTTTCCTGGGTGCAGAGGTCACTCATCCTCCTGCCGGTGATGGGAAGAAGCCTTCCATCGCCGCCGTGAGCCCCTCGCCACGTCACGCCGTGTAGCACGATTTCACGGTTACATCACATTATTTGCGGTGAAGCCAGCTTCTCAGGCTTGGCGAGACGATGGTCGAAGCCCCTGGATGTGTTGGTGGTGCACACCGCTAACCCAGCGCTGTGTTAACAGCGTTTTATGAATCGCGCGGAATCTCTTGTGTGCTGTGGCACTCCCCAAACTCCCTGGGCTGCGGGGTGGCCAGGAAGGTGGCAGCACAGCAAGTGGGTTTGTGAATTTGTCAGTGCTGATGTCGGGAGTGCTATCCCTCCCCCTGTGTGCGTCGGGTTTTCTCTGGGTTGTTGAATTTGCAAACCCAACAATGCAAACTCTGCTGAACAGTCGAATGGTCAAACATTACATTGCCAGGGCCATCCTAAACATGAGTCTTTATTACATTTGGATTTTCATCATATATGACCTGGCTCAGCTGTGAAGGTTTTAATCTAATAGACGAATCATATGTCAAAGACTCCTTTTTAAACAGCATAACATTGACTATGGTCATGTGTCAAGAGACGAGAACCCTTTTTGGGAAAACATTTAGAATAATCATCATTTTCATTGTCATCTGACGTTGCCCATTTGTGAAGATATTGTTTTACTGACATCGTCATTATGAGTCATGGTCTATCCACTGCTATGTGAAGGTCTTCCTACACCATCGCCATTCCTTTACGTTCCTGTGAAGCCACAATCGAACGCACACCCTGCACATTAACCGATCTGATTTCTCCGCCTCCAAGGTTGGTCATCCTCTCAGGCTTGTTCTCCCCCTTTGACTTCACGTGAAATAAATGTCTCTATAGCAGGGCATGCGGGAAAGTTCTTCACCCCTTTAATATGTCTTTGGAAAACAGTTACTTGAAGGGATTTCTGAAGTTTTTATAATCTCCTAGCCAACACACGGGGTGATGCGCTGCTCTGTAGCTTTTGCAGTGGACACTTGGGCTCATGGGATGAAGACAATATTACATATGTACATAAAACTGCCCGGAAGGGAACATGTATTTATATATGTTGAACTTTGTTGAACTTCTTTTGCACTGTACATAGCCAACCGTTCTAATCGTGTTTGCTTAGGTTGTGGGCAGCATGGACGCCCACCCGAGCCGCTATTGCGCCACGGTGCGTGTTCAGCACCACCGGCAGGAGATCATCCAGGACCTAGGCACCATGGTGCGTGAGCTGCTCATCCAGTTCTACAAGTCGACGCGCTTCAAGCCTACGCGCATCATCTTCTACCGCGACGGCGTCTCCGAGGGCCAGTTCCAGCAGGTGCAAGCGGACACGCCCCACCGCCCGTGTGCGCTACCGGCGAACTCGTTCTCCCGCCGGTCAACCTGCCCGTCCGCCCGCCCTCCCATGTGCTGCCAGTTTGGCCACACACCACTCTGTGCCGTCAGCTCTCTCACCCACCCCTCTGCTGCCGGCCCACGGTGGCGAGATGTTGACTCCCTCTCCTGGTATACAGGAGGTTGTGGGTTTGATCCCAACCCTGACGCCTCTATATTTGGAGTTTGTGTGTTCTCTCCCCGTGGTCGCGTGGATTTTTCTCCGGGTCCTCGGGTTTTTCCATCCACATTTAGAAACGTGCGTTGAGAATATTTGGCTGCTGTATATTTACACGTGATAAGCCACTTGGTTGGGACTCTCATTTGTGGCCAGGTCGCTTCTGAAAAAGAGCTATACTGCTCAGTGGGCCTTACTTGGTAAAATAAAATAAAAAAGTGTTTAGTTTCACTCGTTTAACCCTGTGACGGCAATGTGCCCCACTCATCTCTGTGGCACCATTTAGTTAATCTCTGAACCGCCGCCAGTTCTCTCGCACTATGCACCATGAACTCACTCAAGCCCCTCTGTGTCAGCATCCCCCTCTCACTCTTCCTTGTCCCACCACCGTGCTTATTCGTTGTGTGCCACCATCCAACTCGTTAGTCCATGTGCCACGATACGTGTGACTTGAGCCTCATTTGCTGTGTTGCCCCTGTGCTGTCCCACTTGTGCATGCAGGTGCTGTTCCATGAGCTACTGGCGATCCGCGATGCTTGCATCAAGCTGGAGAAGGACTACCAGCCCGGCATCACCTACGTCGCTGTACAGAAGCGACACCACACGCGGCTCTTCTGCGCCGACCGAAACGAGCGGGTACGCGATTGTCGGTGTCGCGGTTAGCGAGTCTTCCCTTCTTCAAGGAAGGAAGACACAATGCAGAGGTGACCGGGGTGGCTCAAGAACATCGATTGAATAGGGCAGTGGTTCCCAACCAGTGATTTGTGAACCTGTGGTGGTATGCAGGGCTGTGGGAAGTTGTCCGAAGAAATGTTGCAGATATATTTTGCACAACAATAGTTTTGACCGCATGGTTGGTCAATGCAGGTCCACAAAGGCTTGTAACCACTGCACTCGGCAAGTTGTCACTGGCAATGAACACTGGCATTCACCACCGGCAATGGTAAAATGTGGAAACATCTAATCTCTGCTCCCCCTAGAAAGAAACTGGGATAGCAACTACCAATTAGATCGCAGATAAGGTTACTTGACTACCTAAGTTTTTCACGCTTTGTAGACCCATAACTGTTCAACCTTGACTTAAAGCTTCCGTGACTGCAGGAATTCATATTCTTTGGGTCTTTCGGTAAAGTCACGTAGATAGAAATAATAATAATAATAAAATAATAAAATGAAAATAAAGTGAATGAAAAACCTTTAAAACAGCCGGCCTCAGCAGCTTTCCCCCTCTTTTTTCTCCTGATGACGATTGCTTGTGTTGCGATCGAAACACATCGTGATATTTTTATTATTATTTTGCATTCACTTTATTTTTTTAAATTCTTTTATTCTTATTATTTTTCTATCTACGTGACTTTACCGAAAGACCCAAAGAATACCATAACTGTTCATCAAATGCACTTTTCAGCGAACTGTTTTCATTGGTTAGGCAACGTTCCGGCACAATCTGTCATCACTGTACCACGTTGCCATAATTCCTCATCGTAATTGTGTTACCGTCGATGACTGTCGGTGAGAATTACCCTAAAATGCCCAAAGTGTGGCATGGTCTTTAGATGTCAGGGCAGCCGAGTTGCTATTCTGGCTTTACAGTTGCGCAGAAACCTGTGGTTAAAGTGGATTTTCAAGTGTAGTTACAGTCAAACATGTCAAAGTTTGACTCAAAGGGAGAGAGGCATTCTGATTATGGGTGATAATATGCATTACACAAAGCACAGTGTGGCGTAGAAAATAACTGTTCACACTGGTGTGTAAACGCACATCATTGTGGCGTGGTTTTACATGGATTAATATTTCAAGTTATTGCCGCAATCTGTTGTTTCCCCTGCATTGTCTTGTATTTCCTGCATTTGGCGTGCTACAATATTCCTCCCCTCCAGATCGGGAAGAGCGGTAACATTCCGGCAGGAACGACGGTCGACACGAAAATCACGCACCCCAGCGAGTTTGACTTCTACCTGTGCAGCCACGCGGGGATCCAGGTGAGTGGTGCCCACTGCCTGAACTGCTCGGCAGGTTTCCGTGAGTTCTCAAGCGAGCGGCCGATTGTTTTACGTGAACCCTATTGAGTGACGCTTGTATTGTCACCCTCAATGATCTGCATTTTCAGAGCTATGATTATAATCGCACCTCCAATTAGCACGGTTGACTACATACAGCGTGAAAGAAGTTCGACATACATACTTGTTCACTCGTGTGTTGATGGCGATGTCTCACCTTCAATCCCTCACCTTGGTGGTCAAAAACCTAGCACACTCGTCAACAACACTGCCTTAAAAGAAAAATAATATATTTAATCGGTGACGTTTCAGGCAATGGCCCTTCATAGCACATGCTAACTGCTATTACTGCTCCCCAAAGACAAAGATCCCCCGTATAACCTTAACAGACGTGTGCGCCAAGTGCTGTTAGCAAGAACTTATAAAGGCCGGCACAACACGAGAGGGTGGGTAGCCAGCACCATGCCGGGCCGCCTTTGCCTGCCCAGTGATGTTTACGCACCACACTAGTTACTCATGTAAGACTGAGTTGACCTAGGGGAGGCCCAGGACCAGTCCAATGTTTGTCACTTGTGTTGGCCGCGAGTGGGAATCGAACTCTGGTTTCCGTGTCCGTAGCGCAGTGCACTGACCGCTGTGCTCCTGCTATGCACACACCGGCTAATATACGCACCGACCTCCTCGCACACACAGCGACGAACTCGCACACTCACGCACTGCCTCGCCTCCACAGGGCACGAGCCGCCCCTCCCACTACCACGTGCTGTGGGACGACAACCGCTTCTCTGCGGACGAGCTGCAGGTGCTCACCTACCAGCTGTGCCACACGTACGTGCGCTGCACGCGCTCCGTCTCCATCCCCGCGCCCGCCTACTACGCCCGCCTCGTCGCCTTCCGTGCGCGATACCACCTGGTGGACAAGGAGCATGACAGGTGGGCGGTGGAGGGCCGAGCGGCCTCGTCGAGGTCACTCGGCTCCTGTGTGTGTGTGTGTGCGTGCATCCCATACTGGTAAAAGGTTTATGAGTCTTTGTGTATGTGTATATAATTTCACAAAGCCTATAAAGTTAAGTAGGGAACCTTTGTGTCTGTCTGTGTCTTTGACTCTTCAATCTCGGCATAGTGATGATCGAAAGGTTGTCGTAAATTGACAGGTGCTTGGTTGAACCTTATAGGAGTATAAATACTTGGGAATAGCAAAACTTGAATGATTGTTACAAAGCCAAATGTGGCTGTGAATAAAGTAATTGTAAATCAACCAGCAAATTACACATCACAGTTTAGCAGCATACGCTGTGGCTGCCACGCACCACCGGCACGTAACGCCGTACCCACACTCCCTCGCTGGCCACCCCTGCCCTTCTTGCGCGGAGCGAATCGTGAGAAACTTCCTCGTCCTTTTTGTCCTCCCCACGCAGCGCTGAGGGGAGCCACGTGTCCGGCGCGAGCAACGGGCGTGACGCGCAGGCGCTGGCCAAGGCTGTGCAGGTTCACGTGGACACTCTGAGGACCATGTACTTCGCCTGAAGGCCGGCGGGGCGGGGCGGGGCGCCCGGAGCGAGCCGGGCCCCCGCCACCCGCAAGTATCGCTCGCTCGCCCGCTCGCCACCGACGCCCCCAGCACTCGCGCCTGCGGTGGCCGGCACCCTCAACCTCTCGTCCGTCCGTCCATTCGCTCGTTCCCTCCCGGAGGTCGTGTCCCGCAGTGTGGTGGGAGGGGGGCGGTGGTCTGAGCACGAGTGCCAACCCGTTCGCCTCCTGTGCTCGCCCCTACGTGCGCCATCTACTTGGGGGAATTACTCGGCGCTTTCTCATGGATGAGCGGCAGGGGGGGGCGGGTTGAGGGGCGGGGGAGGGCGCTTAGTGGCAGCAAACAGTTCTCACTATGGAGACGGTGTAAGGAGCGGCACCATTGGGTGACCGTGCACGCTCACCCCCGAGAATCGCCGCATACGAAATGCAAGATCTTTTTATTGCGTTTAATCGACGATTGCAAAGTTTATGTGTCATAGATTATAGACTAACAGCGGCAATGGTGTTACATTTGCAGAACTGTATCCATTGAAGTTTTTTGGACGAATTGTTTGATGTCAAGCATGGCTTAATACTGTTTAAGAATCTGAAATTAGAACAGCAATGTAACATTTATTTTTGATGTTCAAAAGAAAAACCTAAACAGATTTTTTTAAAATGTCATCTATATAGTGAGGATTGATCTAAAATGTTTTTTTTTTATTGTTCCACAAATTTCCACTAGGTTATTATTATTCTTTTTTTCTTCCCATTGCCATTCGTTGTGGCCACTGACTGATAAAAAAAAAATCAGATTCTTCTAAAAGAGAGCGATTTGCTTCCCCGTTCCACAAGCATCGGTTAATCGATAACAGGAATGATAAATGTAGGCACGCCTTGTTTTTACACCAGTGCTTCTCTGTCTTTCGGCAGAGAGTGTCTGTGAAGACCGGTTACGCTGCGATTAGATTGGCTTCTGCCAACAAATGGTGCAGCTCGCATGGAATCCATAATCGCGAACCGAAGAGCTGTGTAGAACCCGCAGCTTGGTTTTAGATTCCTACCTGGACCAGGCTGCGGTCTTTTGGGCCAACAAACATCATGGGGAAAATACGGATATAAAGCAATCTTCATTGGTCCAGGTTAACGGATCATTTGCTGGTGAAACCAGTTGTAGAGATGGCAATGCTTCGTGTATGTGTGTTGAAATTCTTTCGCATCAGGAAGGACAACAGGCGAAACATAAAAGCAGTCCAAAAGAAATGAGTTTTCAATTTAGATTTAAAAGGGCGTAGCTCCAGTGGCTTCCGAATATCAGAAGAAAGAGCGTTCCAGATGACGGCAGAAGCGCATCTGAAAGCTTGCGATGCGGGTGACTGTCTTTGTTCGATGGTTAGCCAAAGTTCGCTGCTACGAGGATGACCGCAGTTTTTCGTGATGGTTTATGCTTCGTGACAAGCATTTCGGTACTTCCTGGTATTTGTCAACGGTGGGGCGCCGATTGGTCCGAAGATTGTGAGCAGCGGGGTCTGTGTGGTCGGTCTTGCACTTAGTTTAATGCATGTTCCAGGAGGCCGAGGCTCATGTTTGGAGGCACTGAGGTGAATGGGGGGGGGGGGGGGGACATTTGCGATTCGTTCATCACGGGCGTGATTGGCAATGGGACTTTAGGGACTGTGGCCAAATCCAGAGTTTTCCGTGAATTTGTTTTAAGATGGGAAGAAAAAAAACAACAAAAAATGCAAACGCAAAAATGAGTAGCGAAGTAGTTTGTACAATGTTATTTAGTGTTAGGGATATTTTAAAAAATGGCTTGGTCATAGCTGTTAAAGGTGCTGAAACTAAGGGAAAACGAGGATAGTGTAATTGAACAAAGTACCTTTTCTTCCCAATGAAAACACTTTTATTGTAAGATATATAACTTTTAAATGACACGAATGCTGTACGTCTACAGGCACGTTTTAGTAATGTTGAGTCATCGAACGAGGTACTAGTTTTGTATTGAATGGTCTTTTTTATCGGTGTTTGTAATGTGAACGAGTAGCTTGGTGGGGTTTCTATGTCACTACAGTTCAACGCTCCTCAGTATAACAGGTGACACAACATTACCTATCATTAATTAGAGCACTTGTCCTCCTCAGCTTTATCAATATCCACCGACATATTTTTTCTGCCTCTTAAACGAAAAAAAAACTGTAGGAAAAATATTTAGGTGATGAGGTTTTTTTTTTTATCAGTGGGTTACTTATTCTTGAGAAGGCATCATTCTGCTTGGAAACAGATTTGTCGCTCATGCGGTACACGTTTTTGTATTTTAATATGTGGCCAGGTTTATCATGAGCTACTGGAATTTACAGCACTAAAGTTGTTGCAGCATATACGCCGTGAACACGTGGTCTTGCCATTGTGGAGCGAAATCCGCACCACGGTCCATGTCAAATTACTGCCAGACACACACGGTGATGTGATGTGGGTGCACATTAACGACTGGGCATTATTCTGGGGAAATTTTATTGATTACTTTTCTTTCTTTCTTCATAAATATGGAGCCCACTTTAAAGTGTACAAAATCCCAACAAAATTTGCCCCCAACAAATCGGCTGTTTTATTACTAAAAATGAAAGTGGGAAAACAAGCCGAATGCTATGCACTTAAAGCAAACCCTGGAACACAACACCAGGCTTGTCTGAGAGCCAGGCTCGTAAAAGTAACGTTCGTAGATAACATTTCGAGCTGCAAATGAGCTGGCATTGTACTTTGACGAGGTCAAGGCTCCAGGCTGAGCACACTGTTTTCCTATAAACGGTCGCAATATGAGAGTCCTTATGAGCCTCATCGTAAGACTTCACGATGACGCTCAACGTAAGATCGTCATCGCCGCGTGCAGCCTCTCGCGCGTTTATGCTGGTGTCTGGGTGCATCCCTCGCGGGCTTCTCATCCTGGGGAGCTCTTCCACACGTGGCTGGTGACAGCGCTCGTTAGAATTTTCATGCTAGGTCTTAAAATGGCAGACCGCAAGAACGAGCACATTAACGTGCTCGTGATCGTTTTTTAAAAATCAGTTTTTTTTTATATATATATATGGCCTCAAACTGGTAAGCATTTAAATTGGACGATGGGTCGTCTTGCTAGGCGTGAGGAAAGAAAGTGCGTCGAGTTCCAGCTGGGTTTCATTCATGTCTGGATGGTTTTCAGAAGGCAGAGGTATGCTGTTGCGTCGGAGTGACTGGGCTGTGTCTGTCTGCGAAGTGGTGCGTTGTTTTGGTGGCTCGCGTCTCGACGTGGCTGCACGCTCGAGTCTTGTGGGTCCTGTGTGCGCACGTGCGTCTGCAACGCATTGCCTAGTCCTGGTCAGGTTCGTTGGAAGCATAATCTGGCTGCGACTGGGGCCCAGGTAGACGGCAGTTGAATAAAAATGTAAAGGGAGAAACGCCGAGTTATATTTTATCTTATCAAAATGTTAACATGGTGCTTAACCGGCATCGCTGAGATCTGGACTTCAATTTTGCGAAATCATCGATGAATACATTTGGATGATTAATTGCAACAAGTTTATTGTTTCAGCGCTGGTCACAATGACAGCGCAAACTCAGATGAGTTTTTTTTTGTTATTGCTTAATTTGGCCGAATGCAGATTTTCATATTTGGTTTGCTTAACATGTGATAAGCACTCTTTCCAAGGCATGTAAATAGTTGTGCCCCTAAATGTTGTTGAAGAGGCCCACTGTAGCGACTTCAGAATTAGTTATGTGATGTCATCTTCCGAGGCTGCTCTTTAACATGGCGCTGCACTGTTAGTTGCGGGTGTTCCCGATGAAAATCATCTTCACGTAATCGGTGAGCGCTTTAATTACGTGATAAATAAGTCGCACATTACACCACACATCCAGTTGGTTGCACTTGTACAAGTCTTTGTTGCACCTTTTAAGAGGAGGCAAACGTTTGGTGAGGTTAGGGGCATCCTATCAACAATCTGTGTACACAATCACCGCCATCAGGAGTATTGAGCAAATATGTGAACGTGACACTTTATTGAAGGATGCAATTGACAATATTTACACTCGTGAACATACTCCTTTACATCTGGGATGAAATGGAACAAACTGGTGTTGCATAACTAAACGACAATGCTCATGTCCGAGTTTTTATTCCTGTATACCCCAGAGCCGGTTATTACTGTCAAGTTACCATTTGCCAAATAATTTGTGATTTCCAATTGAAAGTGAACAGCCAATTGAATTCTCAGAAATGCACTTGTATTATCTTTTAAACCTACCGTTCCTAAGTTCTGCCAGCTTTGGCAAAGTCTGATTTTTAAAAATAACCACAATAATGCTTGTTTTATTTCCCCCAACGTCAATGCACTTATTCTATGTTACCACAAGCACGTAAAGGTGGAAGTTGGCTTCAGAATAATACAAATGCTCACCATTTGTTGTGAGTTTCTTCTCAAGGAGCTGCCCACAAAGGCGTTTTGGCTACTCTTGTTATGCACTTAAGTTGTCAGGAAATGTGTTCAATCTTTATCTGTTACAGTTAGAGGATAATTCATTAACAAAAAAAACATGCTATCATTAATAATAAGTCTCGCTGAGTTACATGTCTCGTTTCCAGGAGGTTACTACATTGGGTTGTTTGAGAAATTTAATATAAATTGATTTGAATTGAACCTTGACATTTGTTTAAATGTATATGTTATTGATATTACATTTCCCAATTCCACTGGGAACGTCTGCCGTGAAATATTCTACACTTAATAAAAAAGCAAGGGCAAGGATCACAGTGGTGAGGTGGATATGGCTGTCTTTGCCCCCCTGTTGGAGGGGGGGTCTGTAGTAACCCATGGGCGGGCTCGACACAGGAGGCATGCAACGATTTACCCTCAATAAGTTACTCTATGAACTGTCGCGAATATTCCGAGGTCAGGATTTGATCAAATAATCTGTGCTTGTGTCGCGTTTTCACCCTCGTTAGTATTTTCTCAATTGCACATTTGGGTCCGCACCATGAAGCCTGAAAATAACATCAGAAAATAATTTGCATTCATTGCAAATTATCTGTTCTGCCAATCACGGGTTCGGTGCACATTTTAATCGATGCATCATTATATTCCTACTGCACTGGGGTCCTTGATGGCTAGGGTTATGGTTAGGGGCCCTGCAACAACTACCATTAACCCTTCACCCCCCCCCCCCCCACCCACAACCATTCGAGACCCATCCCAGGGAGCCAACAAACCGACTGGATTTAATGCCTTACCACGGAACTGCTCCTGAGGGCCGTATCGTAAGAGTCCTGTACTGGAACGCACTTGGCCAAGGGTCGGTCACGTTTACATGTTTTCGCTAGTGCCATTCCCCCAGCTGGCGGGCACGTTTGCGTCGAGTGGTAAATCTGTGAGCTCTGAACGGAACGGCCGTGGAGTGGCGTGGAATGTCTTGGCTCGTCTGCATGGTCATTCGTTCACACATGCCTTTTGGCTAACTCTGCAATTGCTTATCACGGACGGGTGTCCCCTTGGCTTAGGCCTGTGTGAGGGCAGTACCCATTGAGACCATCCCAGGGCAGGATGGGATCACTCCTGAGCCAGTAGGGGAAATTCTGCATTCCCATAGCGGCCTCTAGGCATGTAACCATTTTACCTTTGTGGTTCGACGAATTGTCAGGATATGGAGTCGCGATTTAATTTTAACATGGTGTTAACACCTCCAGTGGCTGTGCAGCGTTCACGTGAAAACCCAGTTGCATACAACTTGTACAAATAAAAAAAGTGGTTTGTGTTTACACGCACGATTCAATGCATATGTTGCGAGCTTTTGAATCTTATTTAAATCGATGAATTGATGCGTCGTTACGTGCCTGGCAGCCATCGTTATCTCAGCAGGACTGCGACTGTAAAATGTATTTTCTCAATTACAGTGTCAGGAGTTGGTACGTGTTTAACCCAACCTGGTTTGATGATGAACATGATGTGGGGTGGAGTCAACCATGAATGGGATCCAGACTTATTTTCTCAATTGCAGTACTGGAAGCCTTCCTGCGCAATGAACCACGTTAAATGCGAACTTAATGACGTCTATTAAAATTTATATATATTTTACAAATACTTTAATAAGGCATGATACTTTTATAGAAGCACCCGGTATGACATGACATGGGCACGAGGAAATCCTATGTATAAGAGTGTATATCAGCTGTTGACATTCCGTATGTCTCCTTATTAAAAAAAAAAAAATTATTGAATTACGATTGAAATATAATTCAAAAGGACATTTGTTTTATAATGACCATTGAAATGATAAAACACTCTTCGTTAGTTTTTGATTTAAAGCTTTCGTGACCTAAGGGATTCATATTCTTGGTTCTTTCGGTAAAGTCACGTAGAAGGGAAACAATAAAATAATACAAATATAAAACAATACAATTCTCACGACGTTTGACTGCAACACAAGCAATCATCATCAGGTGACAATACAATTATCACGACGTTTCGACTGCAATCACCGGATTGCAGGTGATGATTGCTTGTGTTGCAGTCGAAACGTCGTGAAAATGTTATTGTTTTATATATTTCATTATTATTTTTTGTTTCCCTTCTACGTGACTTTACCGAAAGAACCAAGAACACTCTTCGTTAGTAGTATCTGCAGTTGTTCTAGTGATTGAGAATTTGTGAAATAAACAATGTATTCAATTTTATACAATAATACTTTTGAACAAACAAGCAGGTCTTCATTTAAGTCATTAATTACACTAAACTGAATCTGGGGGGGGGGGGGGAAATATCCTTGACAGAAAATGTTAATTGACATTATGGCAACGTCCAGCAAAAAGCAAATTAGTCTAGCTTGGTTTTGTAGAGGGACAAAGTAGTTGTGACGTTTACACTAATGGTGCACGTTTAAAGTGTAACATTTGAAGAGGGATGTGAATTGAACGTGGCGTTTGTTGCTATTGAAGTCAAGTGCGAGCCCCGCATCATTGATCCTGGAGTTGCTTTAGAGCTTCAGTGATTTACTGAGTAGTTGTAAGACAAGTCCAACTGAATTGACTGAAAAAATAAGAAGAGGTTTTTTTTACCCTTTCTGGCAATAAAACCGGTGTTAAGATAGTCAAGCACCAAATAGAAACCTTTCGCAAGGAATCAGGTCGGCATTAAAGACACGTATTTGTGGTGAACATGCAAACAAACATGCTCTGATAATGTATGGCACTGTCTTCGAAACTGATTGGCCTGCACCAGAGACAGCCTTTTGTCTCACCAGTGTCAGACCAAAGAACGCCAAAAGGTCAACCGTACAAAGACAATGGTTCATGCAGCCTTGATTCCTTGCAAAAAGTATCGATTTGGTGTTTGAACATCTTAACACATGTTTTATTGCTAGAAAGGTTAAAACCTATTCTTATTTTTTTCATGCAGTATTTTGATACTGGCAAAAAAGGTCCTATTTTTTATTTGACCGAGTCCGCTTGGATTGTTGCTGTAGTCAACAGTACGTAATAATTTAAATGTTTAGAGCGCCCTTAAATTAGCATTTTCAGGGTGATATGCATGGCAAGGAGGAAAATAGTTAACAACAACAACAACAACCAAGTAAAGAAGAAGTGAGAAAGGCGGTTGAAAATAACTAAAGCGAGAAAGTGAGTTTAAACAGATAATCTTTAGTTGATATTTGAAGATTTGTAGGGTTCGTGGTGAAAGCAGCATCTATGAAACGACCAGCGCTGCCAATGTGATCCCAGTTTAAGTGGCCCTTATTTAATACGTTAAGAGTCCTCATCCCGTCTGATGACGAGCCATCGTCTTATCAACACGGAACCCTCGTCTGATTTGATGCACAACTCTTGGCTTACTTATCATGGAACCCTCTTCTCATATGATACAAACGCCAAGTTTCATGATAACCAACCCCTGTTTCTTACAATATATCACTATAAATCGTTTCATATAGAGCCCCCCATCCAATCGGTGAGAGATTCCCTGTCTTGCCTGAAAGGGAAACATCTTCATCAATGGATACGGAACCCTCATCTCATCCAAAACAAACTCAACTAATACAATCCCTATCTCATTCGATACAGAACCTTATATCTCATGCGTTTGGCTCTTAGGTTGCTCGGTAGGCTAATTGTAATAAACTACATGATCATTAAATATCATAGGCAGCCAAACCCTGAAATACGTATATAAAATACGCAAGTTCTACCACTCAGTAATTCAACATTGACAACAAAACGACTCAAGGCAAATATGCTTTAGCTGTAGCCGTAATTTATATTCTTATACCGTTTTGTTATTAAGTGTGCCGAATATGCTTCTCGTTCTTGGAGGCACAAGTGGTGGTTTAAGGGAGTACTTGCTTTGTGTTGAGTTCTTTTATTTGAGACCGACGCTTTTTGTAAAGGGTTCAGCTGCAGCTGTGGATGGGTTTGCAGCACCAAGGGCATTTCACTCCCATGTCTCAGGTGCAACCAGTTTGGACTCACGAATTGTCATGTTATTTGGATCGCAGTTCAATTCAAGAATTATTATTCGTTTTCTGTCTCATCTTCATAGTCTCTTGTATTGTGTGTCGCTTTATCGGTCTCATTTGTCCAGTTTTGTTTGCGCCATGAACCTAAATGAATCGATTCTCACGCTACTATTCGATATGCGCATCATGAGTGTAACATTCAACAAATAACACTTTTACCGAGGAAAATCTCAGTATCAAGGCTCGTTTTCACAAGGGTCCAGGGTCCGTCAATGAGATGTTTGGCAAATTTGTATTTAAGTATTTAAATTTGGCGTGTAAGGAAACGGAGGTGCCCGCAAATGAAATGAACCTTCTCATACGATGGGGGGGGGGGGATAACACTCACCACTACAGGCACCATGTCACTATCACTGCACGTGGGTCTCACGCACGTAATCATGGCGCGATCCACAAACCCCCCCCCCCCCCCTCCTGAAGTTGCTGGATCACAGCGACGCACATCAACGCCGTTGCTTGGCGAGAGAGAGCGCGCACGCAAACCTCTCTCGCAGCTTCACGAAATGCTGGCTCGTAGGCTCCCCTTTTTCGAGCCGCGTTTCTGCGTACCCGTGGTTTGGGTGAAACGTTAACACTGAGCGAGGCAGCGGCAGCTTGTGTGCACGCAATTACTGTTTTTTTCGGCCTCGTAGACTGTTAATCATTTTTACGTATCTTAAACCATTCGTCGTTATTGTTGTTATTCCGTCAGAAGTGCTATTTTTAGACGTTGCAATTTTAGTCAGTGACTTCGCGGGGGGCGGAGTGGGGGGGGGGGGCACAGCGTTTGTTTTGTTCCTCTCGCCCCCGTCGGTCGCAGTGTCGTTCGTGGACGAGCTCGGCCTTGTCCAGCCGGCAGCCTTCACCTTGTACTCATGTAGTAGAGAGCCACTCTCGTACACGGGGGGGGGGGGGGGGGTGGAGTCTTAGAAAACTATATATTTTATTAAGAGCTCATTAAATATGACAGTCAGAGAGCCTAAACCAAGCCAATATTGTACCTACTGTGTATCTGCAATTTCAGGGCTTATCTATGATTAATTAAGTGTATGTAAATGTATTATAATAATGTGTAGTATTTTCTTTTCCCCATTTTGTAAGACAATATCCAAGCAGGTTGATAGTTCAACAACCGATTATTTTATTTATGTTTCACCGGCGTGTTGATCGAATGAGCCACTGTTGTGATGCCTCCCCCACATAAAATAAACACACAATGTAAAAAACTTCCAACAATCCATTCTTCAGCCTGTTTGAAAACTAACCACTGGATAGATTCATTCGTTTCTGTTAACTCTTTTATAGTGTGGTCAATATATAGTCATCACACACTATGCTTCGCGTAGGTGGTAAGACCTAAGTAAGGTGTTTAGAAAAGTCTATGGGCTGGCGAGTGTAACCTTTGTTAAGTTGTCTATACGGTCCCCTTGCAGTTCAGTTCACTTGGTCCATCCATGTCCAGAAGAACTCCTTAAACCACTTGTTCACAGCACACATGCCATTGTCGCCAGAGAACCACTTTTCTTGTCGGTGTTTATTTTTTACAGTCGATACATGTGGAGATCACTGGGGAGCCCAGGCATGGCGAGTTTGGGATTTTCTTTCCAGATTTGTTTGGATATTTTGTCGTATATTTTTTTCAGAGGACGCAAACAACATACATTTTAATTTATTTTAAAAATTGCAGAGTTCATCTGTTGCTCTGAAATGTCGAATTTATTTTTTAAAACGAGAGCTGAACTTTCAATTCACCCTTGGTTGCTTCACAAGTTATTTCTCTATCGGGCTGAACACATTTGCTCAGCCCCCGGATAAATTTACGCTGTAGAAATTCACGTTTAGTTTTAACTCAGTCTGAATAAGAGTAAAGTTGAGTGAATCGTCCCCGAAACTGAAACGTCGCTATGCCTCGGCTCGTATAAAATCATGACTTCCTCCTAGCTTTCATTTGTTTTTTCCACTGTTTATTTTTAGTTGACCACCAATTTAGTGCTACCTTTTCAGGCTGTCGAATGAAAGGTTGCTTTGGTGATTCAGCCGTGTTCCACGCTGGAGATGCGATTAAATTAATTGTAGATTTGTTATTTCACGTAGTTAAAATTTCTCCCGTTTAATATTTTCCTCCTTTCCTGCTTCACAGAATATTTCGCTTATCAATAATTTTCTCACTGTAAGGTTAATAATTTACCTGCTCTTATATATTTTATTCTCTGCAGTTTGTTTTCTAGAGGTCAGTTGTTTTAAGAAACACAATCCAATAAGTTATCAAAACCGACAATTCGGTAAACAAGGCATAGTAATGTACAGTTAACCGAAAACCTAGGTGTTTTTGCACACCGTAAAAAAATATCACGTCAAGGATGACCCGTTAAATATCGAGCAAGTTTTGAATTGGCAATGGGTGGCATGTGACAGTGGAAATGCACATGGATCCCTGAAATACGATCGCAAAACTTCTTGTTCCTCAGCAACTTGCAGCCAAATTGAGCGTCATTCATCATTTCGGCAGCTCGGTTAATCCGCGATGCGGCGATCGCTGCGAGCGTCGCCACACAGGATTGAAGCAGCAACAAAACTTCCCTGGATTCCTGTCTTCAATCGCCTTCGCAACGTGTGCTGCGATTAACGAAACAGAGTGACGTGTTAGCGCGTTCCTGAAATAACGTCCGAACGCCGTGACGGCCGGAGCTTGTCGAGCTGTTGTGTTATACGTGCTCTGTGTTCTGTTGAGTTTGAGCAGGGAACGGGACTATGCAGCAATTCGTTTGTTGAAACGGTGGTGGGCAATGAGCCGTGGGCTAACAGTGGCTGCGCTGTCGTTGTGGTGACACTGTCGCTATGGCCACGCGAAGCCGCTCGCGACCGCTGGGCATGTAACGATTCGGGCCCCCCCCCCCGCCCGTCAA